CTATTTCCTGGCCTCAATCGGCTTAAATAATACATGAACTGTAATGCTAACAAACTCAAGAGATTAAGATGCTAACAAACTCAGGATAAAGCCTAATAACAAACTCTAGAAAAGAACTCAATCCTAACAACTGTTGGTCGCCCAGTTGTTGCCGCCGCGCGGCACCTCGCCTCCTTGCATACGTGAGTCCCCACATGACAACTGAGGAGCTGTTTTCACAGCTTATCTACAATGAGTCAAAATTTAAAGTCAACATCATAGCTACAATGCTAGATTAAATAGGGTTATGAATATCTGCTCAGAAATATTTTTGTATACTCGTTTTTATTTTATGCCAAAATTTTTGTATTGATGTCTCATTGAAATTGTTTATATATAGGAATCATATGTTTATTTTCACTATGAATTCCCTGATTTATCCTGCACTTTCTTCAGAAATTTGGGTGTAATACTCTAATTTCTTTTGAATCCTATTGTTACTTGGGCACTGTTGAGGAAGGAGGGTGTTGGAACTGCCACGGAGGCCGAGCTCCAAGTGGTCTACGCGTATTCATTGGCAAGATCGGTCTCAAGCTGCAATTCTGGAGGTTTACATATTAACTACCATCCTACGGGCTTGTTGACTTGGTGTTGTATCATATTCTGTTATCAATATTTTTTTAATTAACCTATAAGTCAAGACTGATTGATTATGTAAAACTAAATTATTTCTAGCTTTGTTTTGTCGGTGCTAAATATGGTGATTAATGCGATCCGTAACTTTGGTCATTGCAATGTAAGATAGCAACAGATATATGGAGACAATATATAATGCATATATAAAATTAGATTTCAGCTATTTGGTCCTTGACATCTGATGCTTTTGTTTGGAAAAAAAAAAGAAAGATTAACTATAACTGGCAACTAATCAATATGGCATTCTTGCTTAAAAAATCACAAAAGCAAACCTGAATTAAATAAACTGAATATATTTTAATGAAATGAATACTTTTTTAATAACATGGGTTCTACATATCGCCGTAGCGTTAGCACGGGCAAATTACTAGTACTACTAATATTTACTGCATAATCAAGATCTCAAGGATATTTGGTTGGTTCTGTTATTTCTTTTTATTTACATTTCATCCTATATAGCATATATATGCTCAATGGTAAATTGTTAAAGAACTACAAAGTATATGTCAAACTTTCTTTATGGAATACCTTCAGTCTAGAGCAAAACCACCTCAAGTCGCTGTGTAATTTCTATAGTGAAGTGATCAAATCAAGTAGTCATGGTATTATCATCACCTGCAATTACTTGATGTCCAATTTCTGATAAGTTGATCTGACAGGGGATTTCTCTTATTTCTTAGCCGATTAGCATATCCTATCAAGACGGATGTTTGATACATCCCTTGTAGTATTAATTCTGGATTTGGTTGGGATGTCAACAGCTGCATTAAAATTGTTCTGTGCGGATTCTATCTATTGTAAGCAGATGATGTTGTGATGTCGATCGCCACTTTTTTCTGGGTATCACAGATGCTACGTCAGACGCCATCGTTCGTTTGGACAACACATCAAACTGAAAGTATCCTTGTATTGTACTCAGTGTGTTCTTTGCATGCTCACCTGAACAATGGGGATGTATTTGAGTTCTTCTAGATCAAGTATACATTGAATAGGGGTGGGATGCCTCTAACTCAACTATGAGTACCGCTCTACAGGTATGCAAATGCCAAAGCAAATCTTCACCATTCCATTCAAAAGTGCATTCACCATTCCATTCAAAAGTGCAGGCTATTATATCAGGATTTGCTCGAACTGAAACTTTCGGTATTAATCAACACAGATTAGACATGCATCACTTGAACAACTAAATCAATGTGCAGGGTAGGCTATTATATCAGGATTTCCTCGAACTGAAACTTTCGGTATTAATCAACTAACACAGATTTAAGCATGCATCATTTAAACAATTAAATCATGGCAACATAATAACTCTCAATACAAGATAAGTGAGCTATTAAATCAATTTACCTTGAAGACCATCTCACTTGGCTGCCTTGCGCCTCGCGCTCTTCGAAGCCCCCGCCGCGAGTTCTGCTGCTGCCGCCCTGGCGGCCTCCTCCTTTCATTGAGCTTCCGCCTCGGCTCTCTTCTTCTTGGCGGTGCAGGCGGCATTGTGCGTGTCGCCCTCCCTCACCGACTTGACCTTGATCCAGCCTTTGCGCAGGAGCGCCTTGGGATCCGGGTGATGGCGATTGCACGTCGCCCTCCCGCACCGACTTGATCTTGATCCGGCCGCAGTTCTTGCAGTTCCATTCCATCTCGCCCTCCTTGTTACCGGCCTTCTTCTTGCGCAGGAGTGCCTTGGGATACGGGTGATGGCGATTGCGTGGCTTTGTCATGGTGTCGGCTCGTCGGTGGGCGTCGGTGGGCGGTGGTGGATCTCTCGGCGGTGGGCGGCGGCGGCGAATGCGAGTCTAAGTTTAGACGGTGGCGTGCGGTGACGATTGGTTGTAACAAAATCAAGGGATAGAAAAAAACGGAGATGTGTTTAGCAAAAAAAAAAAAAGGGAAAAAAATGAAAACAGAAGCCAATGGGTAAATCTCGGAAACGTAAACAAAACTCGACTGCCAGCCAAAACTCCGGGTGGTGAAACAAAACATTAAAACAAAACAATATTTTAGATGTTTTATACTAAGTCAGTAAAAATTATTTCAAATGTACCATTACTTGATAAAAAAAATGTTTCATCGCTTGGTGAAAAATGTTTCAATAAGATGAAAACAGATTGAAACATCGATATCCTACTACGTGCAACATCGAAGAAACATGACGTCTTCCTTTACTTTGGTTGAATCCACCTTTCTCTACTAGGTACTCCCTCTGTTTTGACTTTGGTAAAAGTCAAACTATTTCAAGTTTGATTAAGTTTATAGATAAATATTTATAATACTAAATTAGTTTCATCAGATCAATAGTTGAATATATTTTCATAATAATTTTTTTTGGGTTGAAAATGCTACTACTTTTTTCTATAACAGTTGGGTGCCCGTGCGTTACAACAGGAAATGAAATAACGTCAACTCTAACTTACACTACGATGTCAAAAGAGTTTAAAATGTGATGATTGTCAATGTCAACATGCATTCCATTTTTTATAAAATATTTCACCCTCGCAGATCTCATATATACAGCAACTATCTTCTAATTCACTAACACTACAATGTTGGAAGAAAACGCTACAAAATTGTGCTTGGCATACTATGGAAAACACACATGATGCTTTCTCCTCAACAGTTAATAAGAATATTTGATATATCAAAGGGTTCATTTAGATTTAGTACCCTCAATTACAGGTTCATTTACTTATGCATTACAGCGGCTATTAAATAAACGACACAGAAACATCTAGAGTTTGTATTTAATAATACCAGATCCAATACATCCAGATGGCATAGGAACAAATTTAACTGCTTATAAAAGTAAAATGTATAATATTTTTCTCAATAAAATATTTGTCTTAACAGCTATTGTTATCGAAACGACAACCGCATACGTCGAAAGACGTGGTTACTCAACAGTGGTTGGAAAACAGTTATAGTGTATTAAATTGAGAATTTTTTTGGGATCCCCCTATTACTTGGCCCTAGGGGCTATTTATAGCCCCATTACAGATTCCCACTGCTAGGGTTTAGGTTATACAGGAGAATTTACATGGTTACCCTTATGATAGAGACATTATGAAGGGCACACTGTACCCTTTACACATATGGGCCCCTAGTGGGTCTAAATAGCTCGGCCCATCTATCTGGCGAAATCCCCCGAGGGCGTAGCAGTCCACCAAATCTCCCGTCAACGAGGTTTGGTGCTATGGCGAAACCCGTGCCCGTGTGCCGAGGCTTTCGCCACATCATCTTCGCCCGTGCTGCCTTCTGCCGAGAACTCCACTTGGCGAAGGTGGTGTTACCCCCAGTCACGGCTTTCGCCCGTATGGCTTCGCTCTTGTCTTTCGCTGCCCACCTTCGGCGTGAGCATATTGCTTGAACTTTTTGGTTTCGGCAGGTTCGGCTGAAGGCCCTCCATGACAAGCCTCCAACAGCTATAAATTTATATCTTTTCGATCCTAATTCAAAAATAAAATAAACTTAGAAATTTGATATGTTAAACCGTCATTAGTTGATTGGCTTGCTACTCAGAAAGTCAGAATATTTTTTAGAGAACAGGTCAGAGACCCGGCTTTTCACTGAAAGCCATAACGGCAGGTTCAGCTGGGGATGCCAGCATGGAAAGTTCAACTATCAACAGATCGACAAAAAATCAAACAACTCTAGAAAGGCCTAAACAACTCTCATGACAACAAAAGGACAGCCCACATCTCCCCAGGGGATACAGAATTAAGCTAAAAACAGCAGCATGTCACTCTGGGGACAGAAACCCAGAAATTAGCCTATCCCAGTTCTTGTCGGTCTCAGATTTGCCACTGCATCTTTCATCTTCTGCACCATCGATTCTAATTTGCACAGATCTTCACATCGAATCAGTTTTCTCCACTGCATGAGATTAGAAGCAACAAGGAAAGGAACAGTTAGTGGAGAATAAACCAGCTTTTCCTTAAACACCATATTGTTTCTAGTAATCCAAAGATTCCAGCACATAGCCGCTAACAAACTCAAAACAACCCTAACAGGTATTTGATTATTGTCACAGAAAGTCAGAATATGAGATGATAAACAGTCAACAGTCTCACATGATGCATGATAGATCCACCCACTGACCAAAATTCAAATGTGGGATAACACAAAATCAAATTAAATTTCCATGGAAAGGATTAGTCAGTGAGGGAAGAATGATAATTACATCAAATTCAAATCTGAAAATCCCCGCAAAAAAAAAATCAAATCTGAAAGTGTGGGATGATGTAAAAAATGTCAATTTCGTAAAGTTTAATGACATAGCCTAATGACCCCTTCTGAATATGCAGACTTAATCACAGAAATATATTTTGTTCTTTCAGAATACTACAGCAAGCAGTCACACAAACATACTATAAATTCTTCATGGAGGCATAAGCCTTGACAAAAAAAAGATGATGAGTTTGAAATTGCATGCACACATTTTTATCTACATTTCATATTGCATAACACATAAAAAAACTGTAGTAAATTTCCAGATTAAGTGTCAAGGCAGTAAGTTGATACAAGATTTCCTTTTCTGGGATCTGCACTGAAGACCCCATCAACATCAGTCCAGATAGTGACCTTACCAGCCTTAACAAGTTTACTAATTATGGCTGCAGAGAAATCACTTCTATATCTTTTCAAGGTTGTAGCTGCAGAGAAATCACTTCTATATCTTTTCAAGGTTGTAGGAATGTTTTCAGGTGTACTCGTAATAAACCCTATTGTCTCAGCTAGTCGTTGAACAAACCATTTCTCAAGTCGTTTCTCAGATTCCAAATAGTCAGGATCTACTTGGTTAGAACCTGTAGGATTTACAACTAAAACTTCTCGTGTGTCCATACAACTGCAAGGGGCTTCAGACTGCATAGTGTAAGATATTTTGGTGTAAGTCCATGTTTATAAAGGTATAAGCTAGGTAATATTTTTATATGAGCAGTGCCTTATGAATATAGTAGGTGTATTTTCTTAGAGATTACTCTAAACTAAATGCAAATGCACAAATTGGTTTTGTTGATAATAACAAAATTAAAGAACCAAATGGTTTGGCACAAGTGTAAAACTACACCCCAAATATTTAAAATAAGGTCCTATGCACTTATACAATAGAACATTTATTTCTCATGAACGATAATGTTCAGAAAAGGAGATCGAGCACTGCTAGTTCTATCTCAAAAAAGAAATGTGCAAATAGACTACATTCAGCTGTGGCTTGACCGGATTTCCACATAAGAAAGGATGATCCAATGAGCAATTATTACTGAGGCTACTGTAAGGAGGTTCTATGCATGAATTCTACAGCGAGAGTAATTGCTTTGTGCCATAGAGATGTTACTCAATTTGTTTTAGTGTGTTCATTATACCTTCTGAATGGCAAATGACAACAATTGAGTTGACCATATCTCTCCATGTCCAACAACAAAATCTAAGAAAGGCTCGGTTGCATGCCCAGCTGCAAAAAGGGAAATGTATCATAACTCAGCTAAGACTATATGTCTGCAATCAAACCACAACGTTGCTACATAATAGTAAATAAGTCAGCATATCTAAAATGAGGGACAGCTATACTATCACAGAATTCTATGTGGTTGATTTATATGTTGTCTCATATCATTATGGGTATTATAACATGCTACTTTAACAGAGCCTAACAGATTGATTGTTAAATGTGTAAAAAATAAAGATGGACATCATGGAAGAATTGTTTTGATTGAGTCAAGAGATACATGAGTTCACCACTATAATGCCAATGATTTCCTCTAGTACTACAGTAGTATATAACTTCACTTTATTATGCTATCTGTTAGTACTCTCTTAGACCACAAACTTTTCAAACCATAGCTTCCTTTGTAAGTTAGTATGCATGATTTTGTTAATAGTGACCAGTAATTAGACATTCCTGAGGTTGTAGGCCAAATGCAAGATTAAAAAAGCACAGTGAGAAACCTGTCAATTAAGCGTTTATGGCTACTGTTACAGACCTATTCGAAAATAACATGACAACAAAGCGAACAGAGTATTTGACGTATTTTTTTCAGAAATATTCTTATCCAGTGCTTTGAAAATGAACTTGTTATTTTTTTTTTCGAAAACGCAATAGCCATGTGTTTCATTTCATTAAGAAGAAGAAGAAGAAAGAGCATGTAAGCTATAGTCATAAGCTACTCTATGTCATTAAAAAGCAGCATAAGTAGTGTACAGAACAATGCAATTTCTTTTTGTGTTTTTCCTGACTGACGTCCTAGTATTAATAATTTCTCCATGAGCCTTTTATTTTGACAGAGACAAATTAGTATTACTCACCCTAAATGGGATTATTGGAGCAGATAATTCAGTCTGCCAAAAAGACAAGAACAGAGACAAATTACAACTACTTCACACTGAAGTGGAAACTCCTGCACGATTAATAAGAAAATCCTTCACAATGGAAGTTAAATTAGAAGAATGTTGGTAGTCCCTTTTTGTAAGCTGTGTTGTGCAGTAGTCAGACTCATCATAAATCATGGGCAGGAGAACAAGACTGAATCCATGTTGCAAATATGTAATGCAGTCTGAATGACCATAACGATTTATTCATAGACTTTTATAGACATGTGTTAATATAGCTGCATATTAAAATGGAGAAGACAATAAGTTTTCCTTTAATGATATGTGAATTTGGGTTTCATTGGAAAATACTGAGTTGGTATATAGTTCACTTTAGCCCCACCTTAATTGCGGACGTCCATTACAACCTGAATTCCAGCGGCTGCGTTGGAGTAGTCATCGCCTAGCGAGTTGCAGGCGCTTAGTGCACACCTGCAAAAGTTCCATTAGGTCTGAAATATAACTTCGTTGCTGTTCTGCTGATCAACGATATTGATTGGCCAAACAATAAGAAATCTCACTGAAAAAAAAAATCTCTCTCTTACATGAGAAGCAGAGAAAAAAAGAGATCATTGTAAATAATGGTGCAAGGGTAAAAAAAATGAAGCAACAAGGGCCAAATGCTGTGAACCTCACAATATCTTCAAGAGAACTTTAAGCTGGCGTCAATACGGCAAAATCAACCGTGACTGTTCTCACATCTCACAATTTGCTGGATGAAAATTCGTTTGCTGAACCAAAAAAGGTAAGACAACCAGTGGTTGGATCAAAGTTATTTGTTTCATAACTATGCACTGAATTAGCGAATTTAGCAGAGGGTAAGTTTACCATTACAAATTTTTTGAATGCCACACATATGCAAGCGGTATGTCGTAAGCAAACTTTGTCTTTCAGCTTTCTTTGTAAGTTTTCAGGGAACTGTTTATTTAGTTGTCTGGAATTATTCTCTATTTCAATGCAAGTCCAAATGAGTAAACTGCAAGTCTGATGGATGCCTTGTTTTTTATCTAAACTAATTAAAACTATAGCACGACGGCGAACCAATCGAATCGTTTAACAACACTTAACAGCCCAAATGAGTAAAGTGTGTGTCAGATGAATACCTTGTTGATCTGATCCCAAATGAGTAAAGTGTGTGTCAGATGTGATCCTCTCGCACGCCCCGGCCCACCCGGGCTGCGTCGTGCTCATCGCCGACCTCGAAGAGACGGTGCTCTGGCACTGCCGCCCCGGCGCCGGCGCCGGCGGCCGGTGGCTCAGGCACGAGTACGACGATCACGCGGTGAGCCCCGACGTCTCAATAAGTTACTCGATGTCCATGCTCACCACGGTGGGGGGCAGATTCTACAGCGTGGACCACTTACAGAAGCATTTCCTCGTCGTGGCTCTCGAGTTCTCGCCGGTGGACGGCGCCGCCCCGCAGTTCACGGCCGTAGCGACCAACGACACGGAGCACACGCCGGCAGGGCACTCCAGGACGGTGTTTAGGGCGGTGGAATCCGTCGGGGAGCTGTTCTTGGTCGCCATGTACTACGTGAAGCCTCGAGATAGGGTGGCTTCCAAGATCTTGGTGCTTAAGCTGGACCTCTTGAAACGGGCCAGGGTGGAGGTGATGAGCACGCTCGGCGAGAGGTCCTTTTTCTTGGCCGCGTCGTCGAAGTTCGGAGCGTCGGTGCGGGCAAGACAAGTTGGTCTTAAAGAGAACTGCATTTATTATTTGAAGCCAGATGATAAAGGATTAAAGGATTAGATGATAAAGGATTAAAGGATTGTATGTTTATAATCGGAAATGCTATACACACGACTGTGACGTACGACTCTTGTCCGACCAGTTCTTAGCTGCTAATTGCCCTAGCCCACATGGAGAGAAGCTGATCTGCGTGGAGCGAAACGATTGGCAGGTGAGGTTGGGTCGGATGGGAATCGGACGAGGGAGTCGGACGTATAGCAGTACTGGTTTATGATTTGGGACAGGGTACTACCACCATGTATAATCCTGGACTAGACCTTGAGGATGACGTCACGCCTGAACTTTTAGTTACTCCATGGTGACCATGGACATGGCCGGTACTGTCTGAAAACTTTTCAGAGCTTCGGTGTGAAAATAAAAGCAGATGATGTGTCTTTTATAACATATTTTATCTGAATGTAGTTTAATCTATAAAATAAACTAGATAAAGATTATTTTTTTCTTAAACAACCCACACAAGATAGTTCCACGTTTCTATTGATATAGCAGGAAAAGAAATACAAGACTACATAGTCTTGGGAGGCTGTAGTCAAGAAAAAGAAAATACAACCACACCACGCGTCTACATCTGATTCTGCTGCAGAAACCCAACATGCACACAATACGAATGGAACTTCTGAACGACGCCTCCAAGGAGGAAATGACGCTAAAGAACACCGCCATCACCCATCCTAGAGAACCAGAATGTGGTTTTCACCTAAAGAACCGATGAAGGAGAAAAGCACAACAACGCCCTCAAGGAGAATGTGGCACCCGCAGACGTCACCGTTGTCGACCCGAAGGCTAGGCCTTCCACCATTGCTTTCCTACTCTCTCGCGTCAACAAGTGCCCGTCAGAATCAGCAGCCACCACCAGCTAATCCCCTTCAACGCGCATGTTTTCTCTCCTCTCCGTGGCTCTTTTGCTCCCTTTTTTTACTAGGTTGTTGCCTGGGATATATTCTAATATATGATATACAATGAAAAAGTATTACAACCCATATTAGCTATATTTTAATTAAAAAATATCATGTGGAACAATATTCTATCATTTTTTCAGTCTCATCCAAATAATCTTAACAATTACTCTCCTTTTTGTTTTGAAACAGTTGATAGCGAGCACTATATTCATTTATAAACTGCCTCATCAACCCTATTGGGTTTGATTTTTTAAACTAGTGTTGAATGATCACTCCTGCTTATTTTCAAAACAGGAAATTATATTTGTACCATTACCATTGTCTACTCTATATCACAAATTGATTAATATCTGCATCACATCCATCTTCTCTCTATCATTCCGTGAAGAACATCAAGCATGAACAACAAAGCTTGCTACACAAATATATGTATGGTAGGGGCATGCGTATAGCAATAGAGGATCATTGTCAATAGAGCTTAATTGGCCTACTTATCAATATAAGCATTTATTTCTGTGTTGATAGTTAACTATGTATTAAATTGTGTTCCACACTGGTATCGAGGGACACGGCTATGTCCATATGAGACCCATGTTTCAAGCCGGCCGTAATAAAAGAAGTGGCTATGGGTCGGCTTCACCCGTTAGAGTTGCGCACATATATATATATATATATATATATATAATGGTTTTATCCTATTAATTGGTTGAATGTATTTTAAAATATTATTATAGATTCCATCTCTAAAAAAATGCAGCGGCATGAGGTGGAGATAAACGTTTTATACTAACGATGTATTACGTTTACTTTTTTGGTATGGATGTAATTCCGTCTAATGAAATGCATCCAGGTTTCAACATAATGATAACAATTTGTGGTGATAGGCGTATAACCATGACAAAGTAATTTATGTCTGAATACAAAATACATTATTAAATGGTATATCAAAGTGCATGGTTTATGATATACATATTTATTTCTTTAATAACTATAAGGCAGTAATATATAATTTTTATAGTAAACAAGGTGAGATATGACTTCCACAGGCTTTCTTTTTATAAACAATAAAAAAGTTGCCCGCGCATTTGCACGGGCATTCTTCCTAGTTTATAATTGGGGAATTTAACTATTTGCCACTTTTAGGTTTGCTAATTATCCAAATGCCCCTTTTAGGTTTGCACTTTAATAATTTGCCATTAAAGAGATGTAATTTCTTACCACTTTTGTCTACATGGCGTGCCATTGTCCCATGCTAGTGTGGAAAGCAATGTGGACGAGCGCTGCGCCGTTGGCGCGGGGCCGGCGCCGGGGAGGGGGGGTGAGGGTGGGGGTGGGCGAGCGTGGGCCGGACGCATCCCTGGGCCGCTGGTCCCACACGACAGAGACGGAGAGCGGGCGGGAAGAGACTGGGCAGCGGGCGCGCGGTGCACTCCCCGGCGACTAGGAGATAGAGAGTGCGGCGGTGAGGAAGCCCGCAAGGTCGAAGAGGAGGCAGGCGGCGGAGAAGGCCGGGGTGGAGAGGAGCGTGGCGCGGTGGGAGGTGGTCACCGAGGAGAAGACCTTCGGCGAGCTCGGCATGGTTTCGGCGAACTCGCCACCGCGTGGATCGGCGAGGCGCGCCGGATCGGAGCCGTGGGAGACGAGGAGGGGGAGACGGGGAGTGGTGGTGGTGGGCGCTGGGTGTTGACGGCGCAGGGCGAGCGGGGCCGGGAGGGGGGGTGTGGGCGAGCACGGGCCGGCGGCCGACGACGGTGTAGGGCCGGCGGGAGGTGGGCGACGACCAGAGATAGATAAGAAGGAGAGGAGTGGGGCTGACGGGCGAGATCCACGTTGCTTTCCACACTAGCACGGCAGTGTGGCACGCCACGAAGGCAAAAGTGGTAAATAGTTAAGAAATTACATTTCTCCAATGATAAATTATTAAGTGTAAATCTAAGAGGGGCATTTGGAAAACTGGCAACCCTAAAATTGGCCATCACAGCCCCATAGTTAAATTCCCCATCTGGTCGTCTTCTTCCCCCAACCTGCGCCTCCTCGTCCCTCTTGCCCCCCTGACCCGCCGCGTCCGCCATGGCCCAGCCCGCCTTCCTCTCCGCCCTCCGCTCCCGCCTCCGCTCCCCGCAGCCGCAGGCGCCGGCGCTCCCCCACCTCCAGCCCCCCCGCCGCGGCTTCCACGTCGAGCTCGGCGCACGCGAGAAAGCGGTGAGCCTTCCTCTCCTCCCCCGATTCGATCACGAGTTCTTCTTCTTTTTTTCTTTTGGGGGGTAGGCGAGCGGGTTTAGGTTCGCCATGTCGCGAGGGATGACTCCGGGAGTGGTTAGGTCGTGCGTGTTCCTTCTGATCCGCGCGTAGATTCGATCTGATGAGCGAATCGGGGGCGCGCCGTCGTGATTAGGGCATTTTTCGTTGCGTACGAGATGTGATCTGTCAGCTGTAGAACGAGTGGGATTGGCAGTGTTTGTGGAAACCTTCGTGTTTGATTTGATTCACAATGGTTGATGTCGAGTTCAGGTGCCTATTGTGGTGATCGGGATTACCTACTATACTACTAGAGGTTTCCGTGGTGGGGTTTGCGTGGTTTTCAGCGAGATAAGAACTGGATGCATTTGATTATGCTTAGAATTGAATTAGGTTCGTGTTGCTGACTTGCTGTAGGAAATTTGTGAGGGCATATGCTCCTTTTTTTTGTGGCTTAAATGATGATGAATGGTGTAGAAATCGGCTTCCGCTATCATATTAGACAGAGATGTGCTATGAGGATAACTTATTCTTGTGGCTTTTGTTGATCTCTTGTGATCCTTAAGTCATTAAAATGGTGTTGGTGTATTTCTTTCACAATATTTCATACCATTGTATAGAACACTAATTGGAATTGTGTAGAGCACTAATATGAATTATGAGAATGGTGTAATAGTTACTGTTTCCATCTTTTATTTTGTGCATCATGTTAATAGTTTTTTTCTTCCTGAGAATTTCTCATCTCTGTAATGTGAAGCTTTTAGTTCTTTATCACCTCCTAGTACTTTTATGTTGCACCAAAACATACATTTGTTGGTCTTTGACTTTTCTACTCTGGTGTTTCATTTGTAGCTTACCTTTTCATTTACACATTAATCTCGATTTTTAGTATAATGCTAGTTATGTAAGATTACTTGCTGTTACTATTATTAGATACTAGCAAATCTTAATATCTTGCAAAGCTATGCTGATTATTTGTTGTTTTAGTTCTTGTTTTTTAAAAAATTGTAGTACCCCTGTGGTATAGTGTTTATCTTTAGGAATGGTACCACTTTTGCTATGTAGTTTGTTTTGATTCATATTATTTACCTTGCAGCTTTTGGAGGAGGATACTGCTCTGAAGAGGTTTAAATCATATAAGAACAGTGTGAAACAGGTCTCAAAGGTTGGGAATATTCTTACCGGCGTTGTCCTTTTTGGTATGTTACTTTTTCTTATCCCTTTGTTTCTTTTGACACAAACATTTGTGGACTATATTCTACAATGATAAATGATTCATCATGCTGATGGATGTGACCAATGGAGCTACTAGTAATCTAGTAAACAACCACTTAGTTTAATGAAATGGCTAGCAAATGATGGCTTCTAAATGATATTTTAGCAGGATATTATTAATGATGGCTTCTAAATGATATTTTGTTCATTATTTATATATCAATAATTTGTAAGAGCCCTTCCAAAATTCTGCTCCTTTGAAATGGCAGTGCAACATAGCCCACAACGACACATAGGTAGCTCTTTTGATATGATTCTCTGTCTAGATTTCTGGTACTGTTTTACTTTTTTGTTTATACTCGCTATCTTCTGATATCTGAAGTTATTTATTCGACATTATCAATGCTTAAGATTGACAATAGATTTATCTAATTTTGAAGATTATGTGTTTCTCCGAGGACACATTTTGTGTACATGTCCAGATTATCGGTAGCAGCTCACCATGGGCACTATGACTGGATTTTATGGAAATTACATGAAAAAACTACTTAAACCTTTTAGTGCTCATAAATATAGTCCTTGAAATATGTTTAGTCTTGAAGCCAACTGTAGGTTTTAGACGGATATTAGAGTGCTATATTTTTATACTACCTGATGGAATTCTTACTTGTTCCTAACTTCTGTAGATGCACAGTAATAATCTGAGCTGGGCTTTTAAACATTAAAAACATAAACCTCTCCTAGAAGGAGAATTCTTAGTAGAACTATACTTTCTGAAGTAGAGCAAGGACGGAATAGTTGGATTTTTTTGCATCATTTTGTCCATCTTATAGCAGCTTGTGCTGATACTTGTTGTATTTGATCACTTTGTGCTTTGCGCTGACTGTTGACAATTCTTTTCAATTGTGCAGCCTGCGCCTATGAGATCGTTGCACTGGCAAATAGTTAAATATGAAGGAATGGACACTCGTGTGATCACTGAAATCCACCAGAAAGTGATTCATCAGCATAAATTGGCATTTTGTCAGCACTAGTTCTGCACCTCCGGTGTTGATGGTAATATGTAAAATAAAACAAACTAGGTTAACCTTCTTTCGTAAGATCTTTGTGCTCTCTTGGCCTAGTGTTACATGTAAACGAATTGATGTATGCGATGAATGATCATCGCCTTTGTTTTCTTTTCCTTGACTTGCACGCTCAAAGCACAATAAAATAGTTCATCTCGGTTTGCTTGCTGATGGCTTTCCATACATAACGAGCTATCAGTTGTTTGCCCTGTGCCTGTTTGTAGGGTTCAAAATTTTGGACTAAAATTTCCGAACCCTCCCCACCCCACCCCCCCCCCCCCCCCAAAACCCCAAAAAAAAAAATTGGCCAATTTTTTTGATTTTTTATAATTTTTTTTGTGAATTTTGGCAGTATTTGTTCAAAATTCCGAAATTTTGAAAATTTCATCATATCAGCGCCCTTAGATACAAATACGTTAAGGAAATATTGAACCCTGCCTGTTTGTGACTTTTCAAATTTTTTTCCCTTATGTTTGGCTCCCCCGTACTCTTTTTGCAACATGTAAATACATAGAGTCCTGGTCAAAAATGCATGTAATGGAATAACATTTGAGTTTTAAACGTAGTCATAGGATAATAATTTGCACGCCCAAATCATAGCCTTCCGTTTTTGATCGGACGGCTCGGATAAACCGAAACGCCTAGATGATGAAAGCCTCTGCGATTCGATGCGCGTAACCCCCTCTCGAAGCGATAAGCCCCGTGGGAGAGACGAGCGCGCGCTCCGCTCCGAGCAGAAATGGCGGCGAGGTTGTGGGCGGCGGCGGTGGCGCCGGCGACCTTAAACCCTCCTCTCCTCACTCTCTCCGCCTCCTCCTCGCCGTCGTCTTCTCGCCTCCGGCGTTCGGTTCTCGGACGCCTGCGCAGCCGCGCCCCGCGCCCTGCCGATTTCGTGTGCCGCCGCGCCAAGAACGCGGCGTACGACGACTACAAGTTCCCGGACCCCATCCCGGAGTTCGCCGCGCAGGTCAGCAATTCTCCCTCCGTAGACTGGAGCTTCCTCCTTGCTGCGCAGCTGGCTGATTCTAGCCTTTTTTTCTTTTTTTTGGGGTTTTTCAGGAGACGAGCAAGTTCAAGGAGCACATGATGTGGCGGCTGGAGCAGAAGAAGGATGACTACTTCGGGGAGCACGTGGAGGAAATCGTCGACGTCTGCACCGAGGCAAGTTCATGGTTTCCTTGCGCTTGATTTCCTTGAAGTGTTTGTAGCATTTCGGCCTTCTTGGGGGTAACTTGGGTGTTTTTGAGTTAACTGCTGCAGTGGGTTTTTGGTATGAGTTTTTGAATAACTGTGTCACATAAGGATTGCATCAATGTGGGTGAAAATGGTTTCTTTGAGAAAAGCTATTAAGTCAGTATTGATGGAGCAAACTGATAATTTGGTCAAGAAAATTGTCATGGAACTAGTAACTGGAAGACCACTAGAAGAAAGAGGGAATCATCAGCATCTGCACTGAGCCACTGACGAATGTTCATAGTGAAATTAAGCTTGTAGCATTTCTGCCTTCTCATCTGACCAGCAACTTCTGCACAATTGCCTGCATTGGGTTCTTGGTGAGGGTTCTTGTGCTGTGCAATCACATAAATAGGTCGGGAATTGATATTGCTGTCAATAGCATTGGAAAAAGGTTGTGCTGGCAAGGTTGATGACAGATAATGGATCGAAATTGGTGTTGAAAAGAACAAATGGGATTAGGATTAGGAATCATGGATCGAAATTGTTGTTGGAAAGAACAAATGGTGTTAGGATTAGGAAATCAGCGAGTTTTACACTACCATAAATGATAAGTCCCGAACTAACAGGTGAATGAAGATTGATAAATTAGCACCTTATCTCTTATGGATGGCAACATTTCCCTTGTGTACATCTGTACTTTGGGTCTGGTATTGCTAAAATGGAGATAAAAACGCTATGAAGGATCCTGGTTTTTTAGGAACAGTTACGACTTATGAAGTGTCTTTATATATTCAGCAAACTAAGCAGATTATGCATGTACCTTGAAGGCAATAGTTAGTAACAGGAATTAAGAATATTCCTCTGCAAGAATAACCAAAGCTTATCACTAGTTTTTACCTATCTTAGCTTAAATTGTTTTGTTGTGTTCTCAGTTCTATTAATCAATTCAGTCTATGTTAGATCTAAATTCTCCTTGAAGCTTGTCGGTCTGTCACTGTGATACAGTTAGTCCATGTACAGGCATTTATATTTGTAGATTGTTTTCGTAGGCCAGTTCAATATTAAATGTAATCCCATTACGCTTCTCCTTGAGTGAGCTCTTTTACAAGAGCTAAAATCTGGTTTGGTGCTAACTGCTAACGTATGATTCTTGCTTACAGATACTAGGAACTTTCTTGGAGCATGATTATTGCGGACCTGGGACTCTCCTAGTTCACCCATTCTTGGACATGAAGGGTGAGATCAAAGAGAGGGGGCTTCCTGGGGCACCTCAGGCTGCGCGTGCAGCGATTGCATGGGCTGAGAAGAATATTGACAAGGACTGGAAGGCGTGGACCGGAGAATACTAGGCCTATTTTTTCCGCCATTTCTTCTGTTTGTTGTATGATGTATCAGCGGATGTATCACTAGTTTTGGTGTTTGAGTAGAGGCTTGAATCTAGACTAGTCATGTTATCAGATCCAGAACTCACGCAATGCATTAATTATATCTTCTGATCCGATGGATCTTTGGTGAATGTGTGCTAATTTTCTGAGCTAGTGTGAACATCTTGTGGCTGTTTCTCTGATGTCTGAACCTTAATTTTTTCAGTCACAGCTGCTACTATCTTCCAATGTGGCGGGCAAAATTCTTCGCCTTTAACACCTCCACTGTGAAGCACCACAACTTGATCATTTCCTCTCATGCTGCAGGTCAGTCAGGGCGACCTCAACAGGTGACGCCACCCAACTTGCTGCGGCGGCGTAATCACCGGCACCGGCAATGACATGCTACACAGGTGAGCACTTAACTCCATCCATCCCCTCACCCCCTAGCAATGCTGATGATCAGGTCAAAACACCTTTGCCTGCCAATCTGCCATGGCTGTGTGTGCAGGCTTGCAGGAAGGTGCGGGCCAAGCTTTGCAGTTCATTCAATGGAGCAAAGGAAGATGAGCTGAAGCCATGGAGCTGAAGACTGAAGAAGGGGGCTCTTGTGGGGGCAGTGTACGTACTGCCTCCTGCCTGCCGGCCGGCCAGCTCCCGGCCATCTCCGATCGGTGAGTTATGGTGGTTGTGGTTGGCAATGGCATTTGGCTGGCTGGCTGGCTGGAGTGCTGGACTTCAGCTCAGCTCTCGCTGCAACTGGAGCGATGCGACCCGTGATCGCCTCTAATGGCAGCTTGGATTCGTCTCCATCAAGGTGTATGTCAATATGTCATAGGTAATAGCCTAGCCATGGCCCTCTTCTATGTTTTTTCCTTCATATTCTGTCTCACTGCACTGTCTGCACATCTCTTCTCAGGTACATCGTGCACTGTCACTGTATAGGCGACTGACCGATGCTGCTACTATTCTTCTCTTGTATGATAGCCGTCGATCGTAGTCGGATCGACGGCGGGGGGCTACTCGGAACAATGGCTTGCTTGTGGAGATGCAATGTTGATGGTCATTCTTGGTACGAGATGGGGGTCCAAGAAGTTAATATTCCTGCAGGGGATGTGCATTGTCGTAAACACGCTAACACACACTACCTGTGAACTACAGGGAAGGGAACCATATGGGATGTGGCGACTTCTACATACACAGGAAACCAGCTAGGTACGTATTCGCTTCGTCCAATAAAAAACAAATCTAGAACGTACTCTCTCCGTTCTTAAAAAACAAATCTAAAACCGTATATAACATATTCTAGTACTAGGATGTGTCACATCCAGTACTAGGTTGGTTTTTTATGGGACGGAGGGAGTAGGCAAGTTTACTACCAGTACTCCTTACCAACATTTTCCTTTTTTACAAAAGAAAACAAAGATTTATAAATTCAGATATGAATCGGAAATTACTAGGTGGTTCGGTTTAAACCCGAAACTTGTCCTACCAAAATATCGGCATTCTGAATAGTAATTTAGCAATGTTTGGTTTGATACCAAAACTTGCCTACACCACACATATTTTTGCTAAAAGGTCGACCAACCCTACATTGCAATGTCGTACATGTGACATTTCTCTATCTTTTCTGAGATCGCATTTGACATTTTCTCTTGTGCATAGGCAAAAGAGGGTTTGTATGTATGTATGTACATTAGTGCATACACGACCTGTCAGGGGAATGCTGTAGCGTGTGTCGCCCATACAAAATCCGTGAGGGAATATAAAGTACGCTCTGCTGTGCTGCCCCGATTTGCTGCCATTGCCATGCGAAAATTGCCCCCAAAATCCATACACGGCTAATAGGCGATCGATCGCCCAAGCGATCAGATCCGCCCCCCCCCCTACCTACATCGCTCCCTCCTCTTCTTTTTCTCTTCCTACTACACCATAAATATTTAAATTTAAATTCAAAATTGAAACGGGTTTATAAACTTTTGACTTATAAACTTTTGTTCTATAAACTTTAGATGTATAGAAATACTATATATAGAAAATATTTTAATTCAAATTCAAATTCGAATCGGATATAATTCAAATTCAAATTTGAATCGGGTATGTAAACTTTTAACTTATAAACTTTAGGTGTATCTAAATACTATATATAAAAAATATTTGAATTCAAATTCAAATTTAAATCGGATATATTTTAAATTCAAATTTGAATCGGGTATATAAACTTTTGATTTATAAACTTTGGGTCTATAAACTTTAGGTGTATAAATTTTAGATGTATAGAAATACTATATATAAAAAATATTTGAATTCAAATTTAAATTTGAATCGGATATATAAACTTTTGATTTATAAACTTTGGGTCTCTAAACTTTGGGTCTATAAACTTTAGGTGTATAAATTTATTAAAATAGAAAAGTAATACGGTGTCAAAAAAGGAAACGTGGAGGGAGGGAGAGGGGAGGGGGGGGCAATCGCTAACCCATATAGCCCCGGCGATCGATCGTCCATTAGAGTTTCCGTAATATAGGCCGTGTTTAGTTCCCTCTATTCCCAACTTTCCATCACATCGCATCACATCAAAAACTTTCCTACGCACACATAAACTTCCAACTTTTTCTCCAAACTACCAACTTTCTCCTAACTTTTCCACCATCTAAACACAGCCACATTCTCGATTAAAAGGTCCATTTAGAACGCAGGAATTTCCACGTTTGATCGTAGACCCACAAATATAAACACTTTAAATGTTTGGAATTTATTACAAATATAAGGGTTTTAGGGCGCTACTTATCGCATCAATTACTAAACATTTCCTTATTTCAACTTGGGGTACGAAAGTATTTTCCCTTTAATTTCAATCTATGTACTTAATAATATAGGAATACTTATATTTGTAAATGGAGAGAGTAGGATCAGATACGTAAACCGCTTATTAGCACGCGTGCGAGCTCGGTGGTGTGGATCTTTTTTCCCTTTTACTCCATCCCATTTTGATCATCCCCTAAAATTTTTGAGATCTTCTCAAAATGATCATTATATAATAAGTGTCTCTTTGTTTTTTTTTGTGCAAAGAGTAAATACGCATAATTGAATATATTGCATGTAACTAACCAAGATTAATTTCTATTGGTACAATGGCATGTAATATTTAAAACATGAGTAATCCACGGGATACAAAGCGATGGAGCACCTTAACCAATGAGGATTAATTCTAAGAATGATAAATGTTTTGGTATCCTTGATCTTGGTGCCCTTTCCTTACAAGATGATCAAACTGGGATGGAGGGAGTAGTAGTACCAATCATTCCCTACTTATCAGTCAGACAAAGACTTATTTTCCCAGTTGGAAATAATCCAATAATCATAAGCACTTGCACTTGCACACACACATGACACATCATACTTGCATAACACACTCAACTCACTTTGGTAGCTAGCTAGAGCCATCAAGTATTATATATCCCCCTGTGTGCACCCACATCGCTCACGCTTGCTACTACTACCCTCTACCAAGACTACCACCATCTATCTATCATTCTATCATTCTATCTATCTATATCTCTCGCTTCCACTAACCTCAGCTTCTCTGCTCCTCCACCTCCTCCTCCACTGCTACGCCGGCAATGGCCGCCCGCCACTGACGTGCGGCCGGCCACACCGGCGATGCCGGCCGACGACGACGACGCGTCGTACCTCCTATGCGCCGAGGACGCCGGCGCGGCCGTCTTCGACGTCGCCGTTGACATCAGCACATGCACCACGGAGGACGACGAGTGCTGCTCCGTCGGCGGCGAGGAGCTGTACTCGGCGGCGTCCATCGCCGAGCTTATCGGCGGCGAGGCCGAGTACTCGCCGCGGTCGGACTACCCCGACCGCCTCCGCTCCCGGTCCATCGACCCGGCCGCCCGGGCCGAGTCGGTCTCATGGATTCTCAAGGTGATCGATCGATCTATCTGTGCCGATTAATTAGCAAAGCTAAGCTTAATTAGCTCTTGATGAGCTCCATGGCTCATGGCTGCATGCTTCTGTTAATTGTTTCCAATATCTATATATACTACCCTGCATACGTATTAAAGCTAGCTTAATCAACTGTTTGGCAAGCTAACCTCGTAATTATCAAGGTTAAGCTAGCTTGATTCACTGTTTTTTCAAGCTAACCTCGTAATTAGCAAGGTGAATATATTGAAGCTAGTAGCTTAAGTCATATCATTATCTTTCTCTTCTTCCCCAGGTGCAAGAGTACAACGGATTCCTTCCCTTGACGGCCTACCTCGCCGTCAACTACATGGACCGGTTCCTCTCCCTCCGCCATCTGCCGGTAAGCTCGCCGCCGGCGGCCGCCGCCACAGTGTCAGTTAATTAATTACCATATTATGAGCACCATCTGTGAAAGATTACAGTTTTTCATCTCCATAATCTCTTTAATATGAGCACAGAGGAGAACTTGTGTATGGTAGCTGATGGGGGGGCATCAGTGGGAAACTGATGCACAAGTTCAGTGCTGATGCTGGCCTAAAAAAGAAAAGATTTGGAGGTTGTTGTCTGCAGAGTAATCAATTAGCCCACTGAATTTACCGTTCTACCCCTTTACATGGAATGAAGGGGGCAGCTGCAGGATTTGTTTATGCACTCAAGACACATTGTGGTCTTTTCTGCTTTAGTGCATGCATGGTTAATTAAAGCTTTGTTTGTGGAACATGCCTTATCATTGTGCTTTGCTACTCTTGCTCCACATTTGTATTAATTTCTATGGCCTATGGGGTTAGTGTTTGGACTGTCAAGGTGTGAGGCATCTTCTCAGTGACTGTGCATGCATGGTGGGGTGTAGTAGTAGTTTATCAGGACCAAAGAAAAGAACAAACTGCAAGCTAGCTGTAAGCTGCAAAGTATCTCTCTCTGCACCAAGCCATATGCACCACCAGCCTTGGCTGAAATGGGCACCATTATTTTTTCTGACTTTTTGTTGCCTTGTGATGCTGTTTTTGAACACAAGCCCTTGGACCTGTTAAGCAAAATTTAACAACTGTTATGCACAGTATGGGTTCACTGTGCACGCATGGACCCGGAATTCTGACGTGCCCTGAAGTTCCAAGGACTAATCTGAAGTAGTAGTAATGGATAATAGGATTATATCCAAATGCTGACATGACTGAAGATCTCAACAACCTTTATTGAGCCTAAGCTCAAAAGGAAGTAAAAAAAGCTTTGTAGCACCTATGAAATATTTACTACAGTGCCAATATGTAACAGTAAACAATGTTTGGTATTTGTTGATCATGTTGTCCTCTGCTGAGGGCCCTCTCCATATGTATATTCTACAGTCAATGCATACATCTACTTGTCTGCACAAAATAACTATTCATGTGTTTGCCATTTGAAGATCTTTTTATCAAATCTTCATGGTACTACACCTAGATGTTTCTGAGTTTAAATACTTATATGTTACATATTCATCTGTCCTTGCTTTGTGGATCCTTGCTTCAACTATTAATTGCAGTGTTTGTGCTTTTCCCCTCAATGCAGGAGGGTCAAGGATGGGCAATGCAGTTGCTAGCTGTGGCCTGCCTCTCATTGGCTGCCAAGATGGAGGAAACCCTAGTTCCCTCCCTCCTGGACCTACAGGCAAGTACAGTTACTACTTGTAATGTGAAAACTGTTTGTGATATGTGTTGAGCAAAATTCTAATAATCAGAGCTGAATGTGCATTGTTCGTTGCCAGGTAGAGTGCTCAAGGTATGTTTTTGAGCCACGGACGATCTGTCGAATGGAGTTTCTCATCCTGACGGCGCTCAATTGGAGGCTCCGATCGGTTACGCCTTTCACGTTCATCGACTTCTTCGCTTGCAAGGTCGATCCGAAAGGGAAGCACACGAGATACCTGATTGCCCGAGCCACAGAAATGGTTTTAGCTACAATACATGGTAAAAATACAGATGTTTTTGCTGGGTGATCATGTGCTGCAGCACATTTCTAATGCAATGGTGCAAAATGCAAATTCAGACATCCAGTTCTTGGATCACTGCCCGTCGTCAATGGCTGCTGCCGCAGTGCTGTGCGCCACCGGTGAGACACCGTCGCTCGCATTCGTAAACCCTGAGCTTGCAGTCAATTGGTGCATTGGCCTTGCAGAGGTAAAAACACTGTAAATTCAGCACATGGCTAGTTTTCGGATTTCTGAACTGAAATTAACTGTTAGTTTGTGACATGTTCTTCTCTCATGTAGGAAGGGATCAGCAGCTGCTACCAACTAATGCAGCAGCTGGTAATTGGAAATGTACAGAGGTCAGCAGCAGCAGCAGCAGCAGTTAACCTGTTCTCAGATGAGGGTCTGTCATATGATTCCTCCTCACCTCCCCCACCAAAGAGGAGGAAGAGGTCACCACCAGGCACATGATCAAGAAGGTCTCAAGTAGATAGAGAGAATTATTTACATGATGGGGGGTTTTTTTGAGCAGATTAACAGGGGTTTGATTTCTTCCGGTTGTTGTGTTCTTGTGATTCTTTTTTTTCCCATTTGTTCTCTTCTTTTGGGGTTTCTTTACACCTTTGTGGGGGCTCTCCCTGCTTGGCCCTATTGATCTTTGCCATCATGGCAATGGCAGCCTCTGCACTGCCAGTCTGTGAGGAAGTGAAAATATGAAGGTGAGGAGGGAAGACAGAGAGACAGATAAAAATTTGTGTTTTTTTTTTTTGGTGCTATACTCTGTGGGTCTTCAGTCTTCACCTCCCCAATGCAAAAAATTGCAGAGATTGCATTGATTACCTTGGTGTGTGAAGCCATGGAGGAGAAAGAAAAGTAAAAGGAGAGCAATGCAATGGCACATTGCATTGCATTGCAGGCAGTGAGATGGTGGGGGTTAAATGAGGTGGTCAAGCAAAGGGTCAGATCTCCTGTCAAAGGTGTAGGCCTTCTCCCTGCCAAGTTCTGTTCATATTCATGAGGGGGAAATTTGTTTGTTTCCGAGTGGTTTGTTTGTATTTTGTTGATGTTACTACTGAAGATGAAGAGAGAGAGAATGAGAGAGGGGGCATGGTGTACTGGGAGGCACATGCATGCCCTAGTGTGATGCTCTGGAGTGAAATATTTGTCCATCTCCGGGCTAACAGTGTCCAAGCATGAGGCTTTTGGGGGCCCTTGCTATTTGTTCCAATTTGTACCCTTTTTTTCCTTGCATAAATAAACATGTTGCCATTTTAATTGGCCTGAAAAAAGATATATCATGAGGAGAGAGTTCATGTGCTTTGCTATTGTGACCCTGTGTATGCAAATATGGCCAACCTTTGTGTTCCTTCTCTTTTTAATTTCAGTCAGAGTAGTTGGTGAGTCTGACCCATTTTTTCCCCTGAATTCTGAAAGCTGTACATACTGTCAGTCATTCTACAACGGGAAATTCTCCAAGAAAGCAAAGGAATAGTCTGGCACTTTGAATTGCCCTGCTAATGAATCCAAAATGTCAAACAAGTAACTATGCCACCTCACATGATTGTTTGAAGCCTAGTGATAGTAGGTTAGGCATTCACCACCTGTTCAAAGCTGTAGGAAGTAGACATGCACTGCAACTGATTACTTTGTTTGATGTTTTTTCCCCCTTTCCAACAAGAATTCTCCACTGAAATCATTCAGAGTGCTATAATAGTGTCCTCACTGAAAATATTATACAAAACATAGATTCATATTCTCCACCATCTGAACATATAGCATAAAACAGCCATTTTGCAAATGTGATTGTATGTTCTTACCAATTAGACAACTGAGACAACATTCAGATATATTTCTCAATACTTTGAACTTCCAGCTGGATGGTACAATTTCTTTTTGTTCTTTCATTACTAAGGTTGATCTCAAACTGGATAGCTCAGACATATGAGGTGCACTTGCAGAGTTGTAGTTTGATCTATCAAGTATAAAATATATAAATCCACTAGGTGGTGATAGTGCAGGGTACCACCCTATGTATGCAGTCCCTGCCACCTAGGAGGAACAATATAGTAATCCTCATATCATGGCAGCTCAAGCATTTTACAATAGTGGTCAATAGTAGTGCCATTCAGGAATCATTGGAGGAGGTACCCATTATAACAGGGATAGTTTGTCATATTTTTTTATCCCTCTTTTCAATGTTTCTGGAAGGGAGTTTGCTACACAAGCTAGAAGTAATTCTTCTGCTTCTTGCAAGCTGTGTGACATGACCATAGGCACACACACACACATCTAAGTCATATGACCATGGCATGGAGTGCTGCATGCCATGTTTGATCTGTGACATGCCAGGCCAGGCCAGGCCATGCTTTCCCCTCCTTAATGAACAAATGAAGCCATCACCATGGAGCCCCCACCACAGATCTCAAAGCATTGCAATCTTGCATTCTAGTGCTAGTGCACTCAGCATATATAGGTGGACATCTTTTGGTCTTTTAAAAAAAAATTGTTCTTCTTTATTTTCTTTCTTCTCCAAATGGCAGAATAGTGAAAGTCTTGGCCTCAGACAGCTGAGTGGTACATACTATAGAGATGGTTGCAAATTCTGCAGCTGCCTTTTGGCTGGGGTTAGATCTTGGGAGATCTTTCTAGGAGGGTGAAAATAATCATCTTTCAGAAAAAGAGGGGGGAAAGAAAGCAACTTTGAGTCCTTACATATGTGTTTCATCAGCTTTGGGAGGAAAATTGTTTTCTTAATCTCTCTGTATATTGTTTTGGATAATAGCTTTCTCCTCCAATAAAAAAATTTGGACAGTCAAGGTACAAGAATGTCGCGTTGGTTTCCGATCGGACGGCCGAGATCGATCGACGAGATGCTGCTGCCAGCTGAGGAGCAGAGAGTCCAATGTTTACAGCTAGCTGCAAGGAGATCCAACTTTCACAGCACAAGCCTTTACTGATTCAACATTGCACTTTCAAAAGCCATGCACCAGTAGGCAGCTTTGGAATCCCATGTATGAGGATGAGATAATGTGAGAGCCCAAAAGCCAGAGGAGGACGAAGAAAGAGCAGTACCCGGATTGCCAGCAAATGTGGCTAACCCTCATCTTTTTGCAAACACTTCTTTTCCAGAGCACCAAGACATGCCTGAAATCTCTCAAACTTTGTCCTTAAAGACCCCCTTAGCATGGCATTAGATTCACTAATGTTAATAGGATCGATCCATCAGATAAAGAACAGTGTCCATGCATCCATGATGCAGTGCTGCGACGTAGCTATCTATCTCTGAAGATGATCTTTGCTTTCAGGGATGAGGTTTGCATCTCCAATGCCCATGTCCTTCCCAGGCTGCAAAAAGATGAAAAGAAGGGCACTCTGAAAAATCTGAATCTTTTTGGCCCTAGTAGTACGTGTGCTGCCTTTGCTTTCGCAATTCACCTCAGGCTACGACGAGCCTGTGTCTGTCACTAATCGAATCAAATCGATCTTTGCATAGCATAGCATGCAGCTGATCGATGCATACTCTCTGCTGCAGCAGCTGCTACTGTTGCTACTGTTGGTGTTGGTGGTGAAACGTGATCGATGGATGATGGGAGAATGGTGCGTTTTCTGCTGCTGCTGCTGCTGCTGCTGGACATGGTGATGGGTGGTAGTAGAGGAGAGGAGGAGGGGAGTTGGGGCCATGGAGGAGTGGTCAAAAGTTGGCATGATAGAGGGGGAATATTTGGAGAGGGGCGGTGTTTTCTTTTGGTGCGGCGTGGGGAGGCACCCGCCCCCATCGGTTGCACGTTGCAGCATCCATTGGGGGCGCTATGTGGCTTTATTTGCTAGGGTTTTTTCACCCTCTTTTAGCCACCATTTCACGATAGAATCTACCATGTGTATCATTGACTGTATTTGTTAGAGTATATGGTATCATTGCAGACGATCTAACAATTTCTTGGAGGTGACCATTGTTTTCGTTTACGTCGCCGTCACCTTAGAAGAGATCGTTCTTTCGCCGTCACCTTAGGAGAGATCGTTCTTCCGGACGTTTTCTTCCTTATCCCTTGTACTCTATCGTATATATCCAATCATTTACTGATTTATTATAGCATATGGTATCAGAGCAGACAATCTAACGTCGTTTCCATCGCCGCTATCATTAAGAGTAGCAATTTCCTGAGAGCGACAACTTCTTTTGTTTTCTTTTATGTCACCTTCGTTTTTCCGGCTGTTTTCTTCCTTATCTCTTGTACTCTATATATATACACCGTATATGTACATCGGTATTCGAGGCTCAATACAATTGATCCATATACGTAGTACATCTCCTCTCGTATAATATTTCAATATTAATGCGACAATTTAGTATGAATACAGTAACCGTTGACCGAGAAGTTTTCTTACAATGATCTCTACTGGTAGTAATAAGATCAATCAATTTGTGTTATATAATCCCGATGATTGAGTACGTGGATCAGAAGTTACTTCCGTAATCTAACGTCTCATTGACACGCCGTGTACGTTCATCCCCGTCTCCTGTTCCATCATGTGTGCATACTGATCTATGAGAGACCGACTTTAATTCCCATTGTCATTCTTACACCGATAATATCCCAGATCTGATGCAAAATACAGGTCAAACGAGAGAACATGTGGAGTACAATATACCATAAACATGGCGGCAAGAAAACAGACACCTACCAGGAGACAGCCACCACCATATATATGCATCCGGCATCACCCGTCGTTGTATTACGGTCCATCCTCTCCATCATCAACCCCAATCAATCATGGAAGCGAAAAATCACCATCAGCAACAAAAAGCAACCCAACCAACCAACCAACCGGCCGGTGTCGTCTAAGCCATATCGATCGTATGCATACGACGATACGCAGATACGCACGTACGCGTCGATCGATCGAGGAGGCGCGCGCTGTGCTGTCTGCCTCAACAATCATCACTCGATGATCTTTGGCAGAACGGCCACGCACGAATGCACGATGGCTTAGCTAGTATAGGTAGTGGTGGCTATACCCTGTATATTGCTCTGCTTTGTGCCCGTCCAGCTTTGGTTCTCTGTCTCTCTCTATGTGGCTCTGGCTGACATGAGATGAGAGGTGCTATTAGCTCCGTTCCAAAATAAACAAACATTGTACTAAAATATGATACATCCTAGTATAATGAATTTGAACATAGAGTGTCTAGATTTATTGTATTAAGATGTGTTATATTCTATTACGAGGTTGATTTATTTTAGGACAGAGGGAGAGATTTAAAGGAGGGGGGAGAGGCTTTGATGGCTGTGGGGAAAGAGAAGGTGATCGTCCTGGCTGGAGGGCAGCAAAAGGATGGATCCACTGTCCGGTGATGCAGGGGATTCATAATGGCACGTAATGCACGCTAATCAGATGGAGCAATGAAGGAAGAATGGCTAATGTGAGAGAGTGTTCAGAGTATATTTAAGGGTCCTATATTTAAACATTAGCCGTATATATAGATAATTGTAGATTGATTGGTGTATGCAACTAAATACAGTGTAACGTTCATAGCTCTTCAAGTTTAATCTATGAAAGTATAATTCTTGCAAATTGAAAAATAGACCTAGTTTAAATCTCGGTCGATTGATAAAGGCCGATGGATCAGAGATCAATGGCCTACAAGCATCTTCTAACTGCAGTCAAGCGGGAGGCTAAGGAGGGGACATAGTGAGGAGGACTCATTGTTAATGGTAACAGTTAAATCCTTGGCAAGTTTTCATATTGTTGTTTTGCCGTCCAACTCTACCAAGTTTCGTTGTATTAGGTTGGTTAGTGATGGGAGAGGGGCAAGGACAGTGAAGGTCAATTTAGAGGAAAGACTGAGGTGACATTGTTTAGAGGATAAATTGATGCCACAAAAGCAATGTGGGTGAAGGAGGTGGGCATGGTTTAACAGCGGGAGTGAGTGATGCCATGTAGTTAGGAGAGGCCTTGAGGTGGTGGTGATCCGATGGTGAACCTCTGGAGTCTCGAGAAAGGAAGAAGAGGCAAGTAAGGGAAACTCGTCAGAATTGATTGAAAGAGTAAGGGTAGTGACATGTAGGAGGAGAAAGCGATGAAGGTGGCTAGCAAGGAGCCAAGGAGGGTACATCCGGTGGTTCTTGCATGTGTGCACAATGGTAAGTAAGGTTGAGGGTGATAGCACACTTGGTGAGGTGGAACAATATCACTTGCTTTTTCCTTCACCTTTTGGAATGTAGTATTATTAGTACAATATATTGATAAAACGTAAGATAATGAGGTATAGATAGAAAAATAGAGAGTTGGATGGAATGAACTGGGAGAGAAATATAGAGGCCAATAGGGCATAAAGATTGGTTGTGTTCAGTTTCACTTATTCGTCAACGGTTCAGCCAACATAGGCTGCGTTCGTATGTCCTGGATGGGAACTCATTTCCTCCACGTGGAAAACAGAGTGATCCATTAGCGCGTGATTAATTAAGTATTAGCTATTTTTTTAAAAAAAATGTATTGATTTGATTTTTTTAAATAACTTTTATATGAAAACTTTTTTAAAAAACATACCGTTTAGCAGTTTAAAAAGCATGCGTGTGAAAAACGAGGGAGAGGTGTTGGGAACAAGGTGCCAAACACAGCCATAGTGTTTTGTATCAGTAGTTGTGACAATAACGACTATGTTGTCACGGTTGCTCAGTGCAGCCGAATAGTGCCATTTCCTTTTTCTACCTATAGGAGAGAAAAAATAATACGTTGAATGGAGTTTGGCATGAGGGTGCCTAATTTTCGTAGTGTGTTATTAATTTCAAGGGATCAAACCGCCCATACTTTCTTCTAAGCTTAATAGTAAAACATTTTTACATGACCTTACTGGGGTTGCAATCAGGAAAAAGTTGTTACAAATGCACCGTGCACAATCAACACACAAGTACACAGAGCACGCGAGACACGCAACAATCTGATTGGTTGCAGCATGTTGGGAAACTAAAAATCTCTATCGATCACATGTTACCAGAGTCTGCTTATACGTACCCAGCTGATCAGTGCCCTGTCGATCAACCCAATCGTTCAACATGCTCCATGATCACATCTCAGAAGAAACAGAAGCAATGAACGATCGACCATCACAAGAATCAATTGCAAGTGGGTGAGAAATGCTAAAGTGATGACCTCTCCCTCAGAGCAAGTTTAATAGTACAGTCCACTACTAGCTCCAATTTATCTATAGTCAATCTAATAGTCAATTTATACAATAGTTGCTTACTATACTATTAATATATGATCCTACATATCATGCACATACTACGTCTTGAAGTCCATGCTACTTCTTTTCTCTCTCATCGTTTATCTTATTAAAATATGTTTATAGCTGCTCTCAGGTTTCGATAGAAATGCGTCGCTTTGAGGCTCTCATCGGATGGCCTAATCAGCCAAAGAAAAAACCAAATTTTGAATTTTCAAACTTAATTTTGAGGTTGATTTTGAGATATTTTCAACGTAGTTTCTTATACAACATTGGCTTTTAAATCACCGAGAACACATTTATAAAAGTTTCATCTATAAATTTATTTTTATTTTCTAATAAACCGTTTTGAAAATAAGCCAAGGACCTGAACAAGCTAGTAGTGATGAACAGCGGAGACGAAGATGATGTTCGATCAGAATTCAGAAGCCATACGCGCATGCGAGAACGCCAGCCAGTGAGACTCGATCATCGATTGGCCGCCGACCGCCGAGCTGCATGCCATGGCCGGTGCCGTGAAAGATCTACAGACTTCAGGTACTGTACTCCGTGTTTGACCGCACACTGATGCCGGTGCAGTCAGAAGTCCCTAGTGAGTCTGTGAGTGACAGGTGACGATTGCCTCTCGCTGGCAGTGTCAGGGTGTGTGTCAATGCGTGTGTTTTTCTGCATGGACAGAGCATATAATATTGTAAGTCTTCTGATTTTTCTGAAGCTGCATAGTATAGCAGGATGCTACTGTTATTTGTGGCAGCCTATAATCCATTTCCACTGTTGAAAAATAAAATAAAAAGTAAACTTTAGAAAACCCCACGTTTTACGGTAGCTTATTAAGATTTTAATAAAGGTGAGGTTTTTGAGACCATAAAACCTATTGATAAGAAACATAATACATATGATTTTCTACAACTTTGACTATTATACATGGGGTTTTTTAAAACTTGTTCTTTTACAAACCTCATCACTATACATTTTGAGCGCGAATTTGACTTAAATTCAAAAATAAAATTATTAAGTTTTAAGTTTTTGCTAAGATTGATAGTTTAATTCTTTACTAATTTGAGAAATTTGTTTAAGATATGCTAAATTAATTAAGATTTCAATAAAGGTGGGTTTTTATGAAACATTAAGACCATAAAACATGTGGTTATGCGCCACACGTCATAATATTTATGGTTTTTCGTAATTCGACCATAAAACATGGGGTTCTTTGAAATTTAACAAAATATAAAAGGTACTAGCAGCTTGTGTTGGCAATGGCAACTTTGAGATTGTTCGGAAAACAGAAGATCTTTTTTTTTTCTGTTTTTCGAAGCAAGCCTAGCCCAATTTGGCTGCACTATACTGGGCCTCCAAGAGTTTTTCAGTAATGGGCTCTGATTCCATGGATTGAGCCCACGCAAAGGTAGGTTAGAAGTCAGGGGGGCCGAAGCAGCGCGAGATGGCGGGAGAAAGCGGCGCGAAAGGCTTCCCCTTTCCCTCCATCTTCTCCCCTCTCGTCTCCACCGCCGCTTCCCCCTTCTTCTCCCCACCTCGCTCCGCCCGAGAAGAAAAACCCAAATCCAAACGCCGCTTCTGCTGATCCGCCGCATCCGATCCATCCCAGTGTCCCCCTACTCGAGCTGTAAAGATCGGTATGCATCTTCCCCTCAATTCTAGATTCTTCTTTTTTTTTTGATTTTTTGGGGGGATGGAGGAGGCGGCGGTGAATAATCCAAAGCCGTTTCTTGTCCTCCTGGATAGATTAGGCTTCTGTTTTTTTTTTTATTATTAGCTTGTGTGTTGAATGCGATTTGGGTTCATGGGTTGTGCAGATATGGATGATCAGGAGTGTGGCGGTCCAAGCGGCGGCGTCGGCAAACAAGAGGATGGAGAAATGAATGGTGCGATTCTCTCTACTATCTCGTATGGATTGAAACGAATCTATTTTCATGATGCGTTCTTGCAAGTGGAAGTCTTCTAGGTTCACTTCGATTGCACGAGTAATAGGCAGCTTCAAAGTCTAGTACCTATTGCGCTACATTTATTTCCTCGAAATGCTACTTGTCTACTTTGTTCACAAATCTGGTACTCTATAAGCTCTACATTGTTGAATGATAAACTCTCTTGCATGTAAAGAAGAAATGTTGCAGTGCAGCTTTAATCTTGTGGTGCATTTGGCAATTACAATGTTTTCACAGCAATGCGCTAAGCCTGTTCAGTCCATCCCCTTTTAAAAATATTGTTCACTTAAATTAGGGCAATTAATTTTTAGACATGTTTTACTCAATTGACTGCACTTTTCTAAGTCTTTCCTGATGTCTAGGCACGGAAAATGAGGTTGACGATGCCGATGACATGGTTGAACAAGAGGAAAGCTCAGGCAGCGCGCCAAGCCCATTGCTCTTAGGCACACGGCCCAAAAGGCTCCGATCAAAGGTGTGGGATGACTTCACACCCATCTTCGTCGATGGGAAGGTTGCGAGGGCTGAGTGCATGCATTGCCACCGAGTCTTCAACAGTGGCACAAGCAATCTGCTAAAGCATCAGGCCAAATGCAGCCCCCGGGCACAGAAGAGGCCCATGCAACAAGAGCTTCCAGTATCGCTGTCAGTCGAGAATAGGTCCCCTAAGGAACTTGATGCAGTTGAGCAGGACATTCCTACAGACAAAAATACAAAGAACCTGGAGGTTGAACAGGCTGAAACTAATAAGCTCGTCAGAACATTGGCAATGTACGGAGATATTCCGTTGAGGGTGAGCAACCATGGTGAATTCAGTCGGTTTGTTGCTTCCTTAAACCCTATGGTCGAAATTCCACCTGCAGATAACTTGTACTTGTACTTCACGGGATTATTTGAAGAAGAAAAGGCCAAGCTTAAGAAGCGGTTAGCATCTTTAAATAGTCGGGTGTCCCTGAGTGTTTATGTTTGGCACTATGACACACTCTTGCCATTTTTGTGCTTGAGTGTTCATTACATCGATGATCAATGGCAGAAGGACAAAAAGATCATTGCATTCCAGGCTGTCGATTCTTCTTGCCACGCAAAAGAATTGAGTATGGTCATATTAACAGCTATTAGAGATTGGGGTCTCTTTGGCAAGGTTTTCAGCATTGCATTAGATGATGCATTCATTGACGATTCAGTGGCTTCAGATGTGAAGGATATCCTTCAAAAATGGAACTCACTGCATGCAGATGAAAACTTATCTGGAAACCAGAGCTTGTTTGTGGTACGCTACGCAACTCATCTACTTGATCAGATTATTCAGGTAGGGCTCGATGAGCTCGACAAGATCATGGAGAAATCAAGAAAGTTTTCTAAACTTAACAAATTCATGGAGAGGTCAAGAAAGTTTTCTAAGTATCCAAAGGGTGACGCTCCTTTAGCATTACAGTATCCAAATTGTAGATATGCACCATCATCAGAAGACTGGGGTAAAGCAGATAAAATTTGTGCGATCTTGGATGATTTTCATCGACAAAAGGATGAACTGTACAAAGGTTGCAGTCCACTCTAGCTCTTTGACAAGATCTGGGATGTCAAGAAGGATTTGCACCGTGAACCAGTTTACTATAGTGACGAAGAAAGTTCGTATGTGCGGGAAAAGATGCAAAGGAAGTTCAAGGAACAATGGAAATTCAATTGCTTACATATTTGTATGCCTATGATCATGGATCCTAAATACCGTCTGGAAATCATCAAGTCACGTATTATGTATAATTTTAACAGTGATATGGAAGATTATATTGAAGAAGTAAATGACATGTTGCTTAGGCTCTTCAGGGAATATTCTGGTCAGACTGAAGACCCTAACTGCACTTCCAGTTTTATAACTAGTGGCTGGAATTATTTGTATAAAGATGACAGGTTGTTGGATCATTATCATTATTCTGAATTTCCAGAGCGGAAGCGACCGATGACTGAATTTGATCAGTATTTGGAAGATCCATGTCTCTCAAATGATGGAACCAGTGTTCTCAAATGGTGGAAGGAACATAGTATGATATATCCTACAATCGCTCGGATAGCACGTGACATATTGGCAATACCTTACCGTACTGATTGTAAGGTAGCAACAAGGACCACAAGAGTTGCAATTGCTAAGTCAGATGGTAACCACTATGTTGAAGAGCGCGTATGTACTCAGGATTGGCTCAGATCAGGCGGTGAGTTTTGTGCCCTTGCTGTTCTCTTTTTTTTTTGAGGGGTAGTGCCCTTGCTGTTCTCACTGCTATCCAATTGCATGATTGTACTAACTGTGGTATACATGTGTTGTAGGTTATGCAAGTTAGTTACCTCATATCATTCAATGATACTTTGGGGCGAATAGTTCAGCATTGCTAATGTTTTATGTAAGTTGTTTTCCTTATGTTCTCACTGTAATATGTGCTACTGGCAATGCTCATAAGCTACATTTCTGATGCAGGTCTGCAGGATTCGACAATGCGTGTACTCAGGTTCAGAAATGTTGAGGATAATATGCTTAGTTCATTTGGCAACTATGGTTAACAGTATCTTCAGTTACTGATGATAGATCATGGATGTGTAATGGGGCTTGTGTATGTATGTGTGGTCGGTGACTTGTCGGTTGGTCTACTGGTTTCAGTATTTATCCTTTCTAAACCTATCGATCCGGTGATACTTGATCATTGTTCTTATCTTGATATTATATTAATTATATATCCCTGAGTTATATTCCTGTAATTTTCAGTCTTACGGTTTCCATAAGCTAGAGTATACTTTATTTTGCTTTTCATGCTTGTATCTGGTTTGTTCGGTCGACCAAAAAAATATTCAGGCTTTCTATGAAGAATGATGCACGACATGATCATGCATAGATCACAGTAGTAGTTTTTAATTTATCATCAACCATTTTTTTCCTGGAAGATCTGAAAAACCAGGCGGATATACTCTGATAAGTCCATGGGACAAAACTAAAATGTTCAGAACATCATAGAGAAGTAGAGAGCACACCTTTTTTTTTGGTTGCAGTGCTGTTCTCAGAACTCAGAACTCACCTCCGCTTAATAAAGCTAAACACAGATCTAGATTTGTACACAATCTGCAGCTTTTTCTTTGTTAGTTCAACCCAATCGATCTCTTACAACACAGATTCTTGTGCAGCATGATGCAGTACGCAAGGAACAGAGACTGAACTACAGCAAAAGCACACAAGTTCAGAACTGGAGTTCTAGCGCCAGCTTGTTGGGCCGAACCAAAATGGTTAAATGGGCTCTAGGTTTTCAGGCTTGGGCTCCCTGGAAAAGTGGGGCCCAGACAAAGGTAGGTGACAGATTTTCATTTTTACCGCGAACGCGAGGTGAGGTGGCGCGGGGAATCGGCGCGAAAGGCTCCTTCCCGGTTTCTCCTTTCCCGCCATATTTCTCTCTCGTTTGCTTCCGCTTTAATAGAGAGAGGAAAAATCCTCGCTTCCCAAGAGGGTAGCGGCGGCGGCGGAGGTGGCGGCAAGGAATCCAGCGTTGCGTCCGGGGATCGGTATGCGTCTTCTCGATTCTTGTTTATTCACTATTCTTTCTCGATTCCTGGTTTTCTTCTTCTTTTTTTCCCCATTTCTTGGGGTTGTGGTGATGCACTCTGCTTCTTCCTAGTGGATTTCGGTTTTTGTCGATTCGTTATATCGTGCATGCTGGTTGTGATTGGAAACAGCTGAGGAATGGATTGCTTCTGTTTGGTGTCTAGGCATGGAACAAGATTGTGATGATGCTGCAAACCAAGTCGGCGCAGGAGAGGAAAGGATACTGAACGGTACTGTTTTCTCTTACTCTCACTCAGAACTCAGAAGATGTCATCTATTTGGATGCCATCGCCAGCTGCATAGTTTGTTATTGATTTTCTGTTGCTCTATTTATTCATCTAGCTGTTAAATGTCTGGTTTGATTAACTTTGTTCACAAATCTGACGCTGGACGAATTCTACTTTGTTGAAATGTCTACTCAGTTAGTCAGTTTGCAAAAACAACGACGACAACGAATGCTATTCCAATTAGTATTTTGTTTTTTTTTCGCGAATGCCAATTAGTATTTTGTTGCATTAGGCTTTAATCGATTTATAAAACTAGTAAGGAAGCCCGCGCAGATGCGCGGGCAGTTTATTTATTGTATATAAAAAGAATACTAAAAGAAATCCTATCTCACTATATTCACTATAATAAATAGATCATAGATTCTGATGTACTAAATGATAAGGATGCGTATCATATCCAAACAAAATAATCACTTTGTCTCGATTATATGTAAATTCGCCTATCACCACTACTTATTGTCATTGTCTTGAAATATGATTGTCTTTTTAATAGATATAATTGCAGTTATACCTAAAAATAAACCCAACACATCATTAATGTCATAAAAAAATCTCCACATCATACTCAAGTGCCCATGTCTCACATGTGTCCAAATCTGTATATAAATATTAAAAGTACCGCTTCTACCAATTAATAGGATAACCCCATTAAACTTATATAAGAATGCCCCTCTAACGACTGGGTGAAGCCGACTATAGCCGCTAAGGATTTTTCTCTAATGCCTTAATTCATGGGTCTCATATTGATATAGTTGTGCTCCTCAAGACATGTGTGAAGCACAATTTTATTGGTAAGTAAGTCAGTTAAGCTATATTTTCAACGGTAACCTCTAACTCGAACCACCTCAACCGAATAATGCACCTGCATAGTTCACTACAACGTAAGTCAGTTGAGATTCATGCTTGGCACCCTCTAGGGAATGAGTGAAAGAAGATGGAGGTAATGAAAAACTTTTTTTATGTCTTGAGTTGATTTATTGTTAATCAATAGTACTAAATTTTAGTAGTATAGACATATTTTAAAAAAGATTAACGTGGTTGATCAGTTGACTATCTAATAGCTTCAGTGGCGAGGATCACATAGAAAATATTGGCTCACACGATGATCATTTGCTAACATACGGTTTTGATATTATTTACTTGTATTATACATCTAATTCACCTATGCATGTACGTAGTGTTTAATATGCGTTGGAATTTGTGCTAATTCGTTAACACTATTTGGATGAGAACGACATAAAAATAGATATAATGCAGTTACATGTTTGTTTTTTGGGCGAATAGTAGTCTCTCGTACATATGTTTGTTTTTTTCCTTTTTTTTTGGACAAATATATTTCTAACATAGGGATAGAGTGTACGCATGTGTACTCATAGTGTGCTTCTGCACATATTTATATTAGTTCATATGATTGTCTTTTACATTATTAGTAAAAAATACACTTTCGAGAAAATCGACGGGAAGAGGGTGGAGCAAAGGGTGGCGTAAGGTAGTGCCATATGGCATTGCTTGGTGTACCACCTCCGTAGGAGTGGTTGCTTCATTTATATATCCTCAATTTGGGAATATTTTAGAGCCGGAAACAAAGTGAAAACTACCAAATGGGATGGATAATATACACACACTCTTTCTTTTTTTTTTCTTTTTATATCTCTTGTGTACGTACTTATGTAGGAGTTGTGTATGTATGTAGAGAACTATATGGTTTTTCGCACATAGGGATTAGTTTAGTATATCTAATTTAATGGTTGAAAATAATGGATCATTGATTTAATTGTAAATTGATGGATAAATATTTTACTTTTTTATATAATTTTTCATCGATTCTCTCTAATTTATTAGAGCATCACGTGGTATCTTAGAAGCATTTGTACAAGTGTAGGAATAGTATTACTCATAGTAGTAATGTACTTGTAGTCAACTATTGTTTGTAGTACATTGTTTGTATATTCTATTTACATATAATATTTTTTGTTTTTCAAATCTCTCTAAATTTATTAGAGCGCCATGTGACAGTATATAGGAGTGTTTGTAGGTGCCACATGGCGACTTAGAACATCTGTAGAAAATTTAATGGACTTTTAGTATCTCATATGAGTGAAAAAGAAAAAAAAGAAGGAATGTGGGGGCCCGGTGGGCTTTTAGTATACACGGTGTATGAAGTACGTATGTACAGCTACGTATGAATGGCATGTAGGGCCTTTATAAATATAAATCTAATGTTATTTCTATTATAGATCTATTGGTTAAAATAACGGGTTCACCGAAATAAATGAAAACTGATGGTTAGATTTTTTAAAAAAATTTCTCTAAATTTATCAGAGCGCCACATGACGGTATAGGAGTGTTTGTAGGTGCCACTTGGCGACTTGAGAGCGTTTGTAAATGTAAATGAATATGATGTTTCTTGTGAGTTATTTAAACATAATAAAGGGAGTAATCGTTAGCACTATTGGACTGAGAAAGGCGTAAAAAGATTATAATATGGTTCATGTGATAATTTTTAAATCAAAATATAATTAATATGTGATGCAATATTTTTTATTATAAATAAAATAGATGTGACATGTTTTATGTAGTCATATATTAGGGTCGATCTGGATGTAAAAAAAAGATCGATCTGAAATGCATCTAATATGGTTATATGTAATCATTTTTAAATTAAAATGTAATTAATATGTTAATATTAGAGATAAGATAGATATGCCATGTTTTATATAGTCATATGTAAGGATAAGTATAGATCGTTTGTTTTTCTATATAGTATTCGTATGTGCCTGTGATCGTACTATTTTTTTCTGTCAAATAGTGTACGTGTTATGTTTTTTTTTTCTTTTTTGCTTTTTTGGGGATCCAGTAGGTTGATGGGCTTTTTAGGCCCATAAAAAATAATTTTAATCATTATGGGGATAAAAAAAAGGAGAAAAAAAAGAAAAGGAGGTTAGATGGGTAGTACATACGGTGTGGAGGGATCGTACGTACGACGTACGTTGGACGGAGGTAGATTTTGTTTTTTATGTAAATATAAATCTAACGATCAAAATTAGTGGGTCCACCAATTTAAATGAAAATCAACGGTCAGATTTCTCTTTTTTATTTGAGTGACATGTGGCGACTTGGGAGCGTTTATAGGATGCCACATGGCGCCTTAGGAGCGTTTGTAGCAAGCTTAATGGACTTTTAGTATATAATAGATTTTGTTCAAATCTGATATGCACTGAATCTATTCAATCATTTTTTTATTGAAATGTTTGTTAAAATAAATTAGGCCATTGTTCACTCGAAAACATAAATTTACTCGAATGCACTGTTATGCAATTATTGTGTTTCTTGATTCTTAGGAATGGGAGATAATGTTGACAATGCCAATGACATGGCTGAACAAGAGGAAAGCTCAGGCAGCGCGCCTAGCCCATTGTTCTTGGGCACAAGGCCGAAAAGGCTCCGATCAAAGGCGTGGGATGACTTCACACCCATCTACATCGATGGGAAGGTTGCAAAGGCTGAGTGCATGCACTGCCACCAAGTTTTTGTCAGCAACAGCACCAGTGGCACTAGTAGCCTGCTAAAGCACCAGTCCAAGTGCAACCCCCATGCCCAGAAAAGGGCAATGCAGCAGAAGCTTCCATTTCTGCCATCCAGCCAGAAGAATCTGACGACACTCAATTCTGATCCGAGACAGAAGAAGCTCCTATTCTTGCCAATCAGCCAAAAGAAATGCTCTGACACAGCAGATGTGATGCCTCACAAGAAGGATCCTGCCTTGCCTAACAGTATGAATGACACAAATCGGAAGAGTCAGGAGGTCGACAAGAGTGGGTCTCGTGAGGAACTCGCAACACCTGAACAGAAGAATCTTACCTTGCGTCATGTACCCACGAATAATAATGACCAATCTCATGATGAACATCCAGTGCCTGAACAGAAGAACAATCCTACCGGCACGAATATGAAGAATCCTGAGACTGATCAGAACGGGTCAAATGGACTTATCCAGACAATGGCAATGTGCGGATACCTACCATTGATGATGCACAATGATAGGTTTAGAAAGTGTCTTCCTTGCTTCGATTCTATGGTCAATATGCCAGCCAACATTAACATCTATCTTGACTTTATACAACTGTTTGACAAAGAAAAGGCTAAGCTGAAGGAGAGGTTTGCTGCTTTAAGCAGTCGGGTTTGCTTGAGTGCTCATGTGTGGCACTATGTTCAACAATTGGCCTTCTTGTGCTTGAGTGTTCATTACATTGATGAAGAATGGGAGAGGCAACAGAAAATCATCAGATTTTGTCACGTAGGTCCTTCTTGCGATGCAGGAGAATTGAGTAGTGTTATATTGGGAGCTATTGAAAAATGGGGTCTTCGTGATAAGGTTTTTAGTATTGTATTGGATGATGAGTTTGTTGATGATTCAGTTGCTTCAAATGTCAAAGCCCATCTCCAGAAATGGAATTTTCACTGTGCAAAACAGAGCTTCCAGGAATCGAATTCACACTGCAAAACAGAGCTTGTTTGTGATACGATATGGAACTCATTTACTTGATCAGGTCATTCAAGTGGGCCTGGATGAACTCGACAAAATCATGGAGAAGTCAGTGATGTGTTCAAAGTTCATGGAGGGCCTCACCTCTTCAGCAGTAAAATATTCAAACAACAACTATGCAGCATCAGGGAAGGACTGGACCTGTGCACGTCGTATTTGTGATACCTTGGAGGATTTTCATCGGTGTATAGACATAATGCCAAATTTTCCCTGTCCTGTGGACCTATTTTACATGGTGTGGAAAGTCAAACGTGATTTGCAACGCGAAGTTGATAACAACAGGGATGATTCATTTTCCACTGTGGTAAAGAAAATGCAAGAGAAGTTCAAGAACTGCTGGAAACTCTGCTGCTTACATTTCTATTTGGCCATGGTTGTTGATCCTTCGCACCGTCTGGAACACATCAAGTTTCGTGTTAGACTGCACACTGACACAGATTATATTCACTATATGCATGATATATTTCTGAACCTCTTCGATGAATATTCTGGCAAGGTGGAAGATACTAACTGTACTTCCGAGACTAGAACAGAAGTTGGTGTGGATGGAGGTGATGATCGGTTGAAATATTACCGTCGGTACGAAAATCCAATTTGTGAACGACCAATGACTGAGCTTGATCAGTACTTGCAAGAGCCACGTCTATCTGGTGGTGAGCGTGATGTTCTTCGCTGGTGGAAGGGACATAACCTGACCTATCCAACAGTTGCTCGGATGGCACGTGATATATTGGCAATACCATGCCGTACATATCTATCTATCTATTATATACTAAAAGTCCATTAAACTTCCTACAAACGCTCCCAAGCTGCCACATGGCGCTCTAATAAATTAGAGAAATCCTAGAAATTTTGAGAAAAAAACAAAACATCTAACCGTTGATTTTCATTTAAATCAGTGGGCCCACTGTTTCCAACCATTAAAAAAAAAATCCCTAACAGTTGCTCCTCTCTCCCATACGTATGTACCCCTCCCTCCGTCAGGTACCTAAATCCTTCCTTGATCCACCTCTGTCCCTACATATATACCCACCTTTATCACATATATAAATGGCTCTACATCTATTGGTTCTATCATTTTCCTCCTCTTCCTCTTATATTCAATAAAAACATAACCAATAATTATATATATATAGTGCTATTTATTGGAACAAGCAATATTTTCACTTTTAAATTAATTTATTGGAATAATCATTTAATTTATAACTAAACCAATAATATAAGATTAATTTATAATTAAAAATTAGATCATGTGATCTCTATCTAATTAATTTTTATACGATTTTGTCAGTTAAAAAAACAGAGGAGGTGAGGAGCGAGAAGGACAAATAAATACATACTTACATGCACGTCTGACGTACATGTCTCACGTACGTCTCACGCCTTTTTATTTTTTAAGATAATTCTAACTATATAAAATAATGGGTCTCTCATCTTTAAGTTAAAATCGATAGTTAGACTTTTTTTTAGATTTTTTATAATTTTATCTGATTTATTATACTGTCACGTGATGGTTTAGTAGCGTTTGTAGAATCACACGTGGAATGTATATGCTTGGCGCTCTAATAAATTAGAAAAATCCTAGAAAATCAGAGAAAAAAAACATTCAACCTTCAATTTTTACTAAAATTAGTGGACCGTTATTTTAAACCATTGGATTACATCTATTAAAACTCCCACATTGCTAATCTCCATCCCCAAAAAGAATAACGTACGTACGTATATAGTTCGTACGATCATCTCACTTTGTGGAAAAAAACTTAATTACCTACGTCATATACTATGGAGAAAAACGATAAATCAAAAAATATATCAATAGTAAAATCAAAGAAATACTAATCAAGAAAAAAACATCATACGGGCCGTCCGGCACTTATGTGTTGTCAATAGCCTTTAAACTACGATTTTGTTAAAAATAATACTACACAGAAATAAGTAGGGGGCAAAAATTATCTATTTTCATCACCTCGTACTCCTTTCTGTCCCTCTCCGTCCTTCAATACAGGGTATAGTATTTACTATGCTATCGTAAATATTGCAAGGGTATACATATGGTTGAGTTAAGGTGGCATCAGTGAAAGGCTACTGTAGGCAATGTATATAAAGGGACATATAACTAATAGAATCATTTGTGGGTGTGCCAATAGTGAATTAAGTGTTAAATGATGCTATAGCCTGGTCTTTGGGGGCACGGCTACGTCGATGTTGGACTGATGTTTCATGGCATTACATAAGAAAGCCTTGGCAGTTATAGTCGACTTTATCTGTTAGAGAGACATTCATGTCTATTTTTAACGGTGCTATTGTATTATTCGATTGAAGTGGTATGTTTAGACTATTTATACATAGATGTGGAAATAAGTGATGAACACCAAGTTAAGCAGTGTAGATGATTTTTAGTGTATTAATAATGTATAATTTATTTTAGTGGCATATGGCGCTCCTACAATTGCTCCTAGACCGCCATGTGGCACAATCTAATCTCACCGTCGATTTTCATTTAAATTGGTGGACCCGTTATTTTATATCATTAAATTAGATCTATGCTGTTGATTTTCATTTAAATTGGTAGACCCGTTATTTTTGTACTAATAAACCAGATCTATATATAATACCTTTCTGCTATATGTAATGTTTGCCGGAAGGAAGAAAACATCCGTACGATAAAGATGAAAACTTCCTCATGTTTAATATACAGGCGCTACTACTATACAAATACTTCCATACGTGCCAACGTACATGATTTTTCCTAATCTTGCTGGAAAAAAAATACTCATGAACTTAAAAAGGATAGAAGAAAGACACATCCATAAAAATTAACGGTCTTTAAAATATAATTTTCGATAAAATATATTAATTCACAAATATAAATATATTTAGTTAAATAAAGATCTATCTATTATATAATAAATATCCAATCAATGTTTTTTAAACCATCTTCTAAATATATCTATTATATATTAAAAGTACATTAAACTTTCTATAAATGCTTTTACACTGCTACGTGACTCTAAAATAAATTAGAGAAATCCTAGAAATCTATTATATACTTAAGAATCTATGAAACTTACTGCAAACGCTCCTACATATTTTCACGTGGCGCTCTAATTTAGAGTAATCCTAGAAATTTAGAGTAAAAAAAGAAAAGCATCCAACCTTCAATTTTCACTTAAATTAGTGGACCCATTATTTTAAACATTGGATTAGAGCTCTTAAAATTCCCATTGCTAATCTCTATCCCAAAAAAAAAACAAAATTTAAATACCTACACCATATATGATCGAAAAAAAGATAAAGCCAAAAAAATAAAAAGAAAACATAAACATGTACATTGTAGAATCGGAAAGAAATACTAATAAGGAAAAATCATCGATGCCGGCACAGATTTATTGTCAACAGCCTTTAATTTACGATTTTAAGATTTTCGTCCCCAATCTAATATTATAGTCCCGGTGTAGATAGAAATTCCTTTATGGTCTAATTCTGAGCGGTAGTAAATACCAGGACTTAGTAATATTTGATTGATCACAATTTGGTATATTCCATTTATTATAAAGGTTGCTAAGGAATTCATTATAGGAATGCTTCCATTGGAAATGGTTTTCTTTTGCATATCGAAACAAAAAATTAATCGTGTGGATACGTATAATTCAGAAGAATAGGTGAGTGATTCATACTCAGCATCCCTTTCTTTTATCGAAGGTTCTAGCAATTGATATCAGGATTTTAATAGTTGAGTGATTCATACTCAGCATCCCTTTCCTTTATCGAAGATTCTAGCAATTGATATCGGGATTTTTATTTAAATCTAAGAGACATTCTTATCACAGAAGTAGTATATTAAAATCTACCATCTATTTTACATAAATATATTTCTTTTTTATTGTAGGATAATCTAAATTCCCTTACAGTATATATATACAGTGATGTATGATTCCTTTTAGTATTTTTTTAATAACAAATAAGATGTCCGTGTATCTGTGCGGAATTACTTTCCGATTTATATTTCGGAAATGTTCTCCAATTTATATTCTGTCATTATAGTGTTTGAAAAACAAACTACAATACATACCCACGCATCGCGTGGGCTACCTTCCTAGTTTCAATATAGCAACAAGAACTGCAAAATTTGCTATACGTGAATCACGTAGGAATTTCTATATTGAAGAGCTTGTTTGCTTTCAGGATTGGCTCACATCTGACGGTATGACCTGTACCCTTGCGTTCTCTTATTGTTTTCCCATTGAAATTCTTGTACTTACTGTAGTTATCATGATTTCGTAGGTTCTGCTAGGCAGAAGTCGACTAGTGGTATTACTGAGTGAAATCAATATTCAAGTCTCAAAAGGAAAAGGATTCCATGTAGGGCGACGCTCCGATGCTTTCTACCTGTAGTATATACTACAAGTATAATTAATCTGAACCGTTTATTTTTAAAGGTAGATAAGTAAAGTTGGAGTAAGTTAGTTGGGGGTAGATTTGGCACTTATTTCTTCAGGTCGGTCCCATGGTCAAGCCTGCTCCTCCTCTTCGCAATTAGGCCGTGGCGTTCTGGGCTGGACGGACGTGTTGACGAGGGGCGCACACATGTACGTGACTACACGTCCGGTAAAAAAGAATAAAAAAAATGTGTCGAATTAAAAAAAATAAAAAGAACGTGTCTGTGGCGTAGGATAAGGTAGGCTACAACGACAAGAAAACTGGTTTAAAGTTTTTAAACTCAATGAAACTCGGTTTCAATTTGAGACGAAATTTATACTATAACAGAACTACTATATATTTTAGGACACATCGTATTTTATATCCGGAATTCATCTGGGAATGTCCGAACCAAGTTGGAAAAAAACACGTGTTTTTTTTGTCATATACACATAGAATAAAGGAGAAATATTATTTTAGAACAAAATTGGTTATGTCCGGAATCCGTCCAGTCTGTCTGGATCGGGTCGATTAAAAAACACGTGGTTTTCCGTCCAGTCTGTCTTGTGGACAAAGAACAAATGAGAAATGCTATTTTAGGACAAATTTGGTTACAACATGCGAAATCCATCCGGTCTATCCGGACTGGGTCAATTAAAAAACACGTGGTTTTTCGCTCGTGCGCATATAGAATAAAGGAGAAATATTATTTTAGGATAAAATTGGTTACGCTCGGAATCTGTCTGGTCTGTCTAGACCGGATCGATTAAAAATTAAGTGTTTTTTAGTCTTGCGCACATAAAACAAAGGAGAAATACTATTTTAGGAATTGGTCACAATGCTCGGAATCCGTCCGCTTCTGTCCGGACCCTCGAGTCGATTAAAAAACATGTGGTTTTTGCTTGTGCGTATATAGAATAAAGGAGAAATATTATTTTAGGACAAAATTAGTTACGCTCGGAATCGGTCCGATCTGTCCAAACCGGGTCGATTAATAAAACGCGTGGTTTTTACGTATTGTAAACATAGAACAAAGGAGAAATACTATTTTAGCACAATAATGGTTACAACTCTTGGAATTCGTCCAGTCTGTCCGGATCCACGGGTTGACCAAAAACACGTGGTTTTTTGCTTGTGCGCAGAAATATTATTTTATGACAAAACTGGTTACGCCAGAATCCGTCCAGCCTATCCGGACCGGGTGGATTAAAAAATACTCCCTCCGTTTCAGGTTACAAGACGTTTTGACCTTAGTCAAAGTTAAATTATTTTAAGTTTAACTAAGTTTATAGATAAATATAATAATAATAATTTTTTTTAGATAATGGAATAAACATCCCAGCCTTTGCTAAAGAGAGCTACAGATATTTGTAATACTAAATTATTTATATTTTCATAATAATTTTGTCTTGGGTTAAAAATGTTGCTACTTTTTCTATAAATATAAAGTTGGTCAAACTTAAAATAGTTTGACTTTAACTACAACTTATAACCGGAAACGGAAGGAGTACATGGTTTTTGTTTTTTGGACCAACCATATTATTCCTGTCAGAATCTATCCGTATGTCAACCGGGACTTTCCGTTTTTCATCTATGTTGTTTTCTCTATTTTCTCTTTTTTTCCGTACGTACGAGATCCATTTTCTTTTTTCGTACGTACGAGATCCATTTTCTCCGTTTCCACTGCAGTTTCTTTCCCCTATTACCCCGTTTCCATCCATTATCGATCCGTCCGTTTCCATCTATTATCCCGTCAATTTATCCTGTTTTAACGTGATTTGTTTTCTCCGTTTGCACTTGCTGTTTCTTTCCCGTACTATCCCGTTTACAATTGGTGCGGTTTATATTTTTAATCGTATCGAGTTCTTTACCGCTATGGAATTAATGTTATTAATGGCAGTGAATTCCCAATCTGAACATATACCATGCGGTGGAGCAGGCGAGGTCGTCCGAGGCGGCGATGACGGCGGAGGAAGGAGCTGCGAGGTTCTCTTCGCCTCGGCTTAGGTTAGGGATGGCGTTGGCTCTGGAACGAGAGAGGAGAAAGTGCAGCTAAGGTTAGAGAATAAAAAGGACGAAAATACCCATCCGTAAATATTTTTTTCTAGACAAATATACCCCTCTACGATTCTACTACCGTTAAATGTAGTTGGAGTAGAAATAGATTTGAACCCTCCGATCAAATAAGATCAACGGTTCAGATTATTTTCTACTACGAGTAGAAAGCACCGGAGTGGCTGCATTCCATGTAAGCTGCTTTCATAAACTACCCGCTGTCCAGCAAATATGTCGTTAGAAATGGCTCATTTGTTTTCTTTAATTTTGTGGTGCAGGATTTAAGTATGACAAAATGTACAAATGACAACTTTGTTCAGGCAATTTTGGGTACTATGCCAAGTTCATTCGCCAAATATGATTAATAGTAGCGTTTGTTACTGATGGAGATGTAAAGAGGCTTTGTACTGACGTGTTGTGGGTAGCTTGTCACTGGGTTCCTACTACTTTTTTTGAACGAAACTGGGTTCCTACTTCTCATATCAGCTACTTTTAACTTAACATTTCATCTGATGACGGTTTATCATTATGTTTTCACTTATATCCTCTTGTTGTTGTTGAGTTCATGCCTCTGATGTTTAGTGCTCTTATGGTTCGCAAGGCTAAACTATATATTCCCTTTGCTGATTCCTAAGTACATCAGTTTAATTTGCTGGTAAAAAAAGTTCAGAATCTCTGAAGTCTGAACAATAATATGTTTGAGATGATGATACAGGACATCTCAATACTATGCTATCTTCAGAAGTCACCCTCTAAACTATGCTAAACCAGATATAATCTCTAGCCTTCTGGCACTGGCCATTGCCTATATATGGATCTGCATCTCTATACTATGAACAATATCATGTTAGTTCTCCAAGTGGACCTACACCCTCACCCCATCGAGGTGATAGAGAGGACTAACCTGGATTTATATATCTCCTTCCAAGTCGGTGGACTGGGTACCCAATGCTGGCCATCGTCATGGTCGCCGTCGGCCTCATGTTCACCGCCTCCTTCTGTAAGGTCCTCTGACCTCTGATGAGGTCGCCGCCGTCTCGGTGGCTCGACCTCTCGCCCCTCTTCACACCGGCCGCCACCCGCCTTGAAATTGTGCGCTGATGACGATGACGAGCAAAGGGAGAGAGAGAGAGATAGAGAGGAGGAAGGGAGTGAAGATTGTAATAAGTGGAGTGATGACGTGGGTTCTACTGTATTTTTTTTTATTTTTAACCAGACACTCATTGATATGTGGGTTTCACGGTTTTTTCTTGATTTTAAGTGTCACGCCAACGCTACTCTATCCAAACTGTCTTGGGATCTTATTTGCACTTGTTTTATGAGCTGAGAGACGTGTCGTTCTGGTATTGCAATCCAAACTATCTTGGGATCTTATTTGCACTTGTTTTATGAGCTGAGAGACGTGTCGTTCTGGTATTGCAGTTAAATGATGAATTTCAGACTCGGTGACATAAGGGACCAAATGTGAACTTATTCCTTGTTCTGTATAAGCGCCAGATTGTTGGGCCGAACCAAAATTGTTAAATGGGCTCTCTGGAAAATAGGGTCCACACGGTAGCTGTGGTGGCGCGGGTAAGCGCGGCGCGAAAGACTCCTTCCCGGTTTCACCTTTCCCGCCATATTTTCTCTCGTTGCTTCCGCCATCAATAGAGAGAGGAAAAAAATCGTCGCTTCCCCTCCCATCATCTCGTTTGCCGAGCCCGAGAGGGTGTGGGAGAGACTAAATCGCGGCGGTGGCGGTGGCAGTGGCGGCGGCGGCGGCGAGGAATCCAGCCCTGCCGATGCATTGCGTCCGATCGGCCTCTCCATAAGGCTCCCTGCCCCTGGGGATCGGTATGCATCTTCTCGTTCTTGTTTATTCACTAATCTTTCTCGAACCCTGCTATGAGCTTATTTCTAGAACCAATTTTGCCTATATTTTTTCTCTTTTCATTTTTGGGTTGTGGTGAATGGTGATGCACTCTGCTTCTTTCTGGGAGATTTCGGCTCTTGTCGATTCGTTTTATCGTGCATGCCGGATGTGATTGAGAAATTTTGCGATGAATGGATTGCTTCTGTTTGGTGTCCAGGCATGGATCAAGATTGTGATGATGTTGCAAAGCAAGTCGGCACAGAAGAGGAAAAGGCACTGAACGGTATTGCTCTCCTTTCTCTCAGTCAGAACATACCTTCCTTCTTCAGGCTATGTGAATGCCATCGCCAGCTGCATAGTTTGTCACTAGTAGTTTATGTTGCACTCTGTTTATCACTCTAACTGTTAGTTGTCTAGTTCATTCACAATATGATGCAATGATGCTAGACGAATTGTACACCACTGAAATGTCAGAAGTCACCTTGAGAGGAGAGGGAGCCAGCAACAAATCCTATTCCAATCAGTCTTTCGGTGCATTAGGCTTCAATCGATTTCTAGCAGTCAGTTCAAATATGATATGCATTAAGTCTATTCAATCAAATTCTTTTTATCGACGAGTTTTATTAAAATGAATTAGGCCGTTGTTCACTCAAAAAATATTACTTATTTCATTGCACCGTTATTTTTTTCGCCGGGCCGGCGAATAGCCGGCCGATGTATATTAAGAGTAAGAAAGGGAATGTACAAGGTACATTGCACCGTTATGCAATTGTTGCATTTCTTGATGCTTAGGAATGGGAGATAATGTTGATAATGCCGATAACATGGATGAACAAGAGGAAAAGCTCCGGAAGCGCACCTAGCCCATTGTTCTTAGGCACAAGGCCAAAAAGGCTCCGATCAAAGGTGTGGGATGACTTCAAGCCCATCTACATCGACGGGAAGGTAGCGAGGGCTGAGTGCATGCATTGCCACCAAATTTTAATCAGCAACAGCGCCAATGGCACTAGTAACCTGCTAAAGCACCAGGCCAAGTGCAGTCCCCATCCCCAGAAAAGGCCAATGCAACAGAAACTTCCGTTTCTGCTATCCAGCCAGAAGAGTCTGACGGCACCCAATTCTGATCCAACGCAGAAAAAGCTCCCATTCTTGCCGATCAGCCAAAAGAAATGCTCAGGTCCAGCAGATGCAATGCCTCAAAAGAAGGATCCTGCCTTGCCTAACAGTATGAATGACACAAATTGGAAGAGTCAGGAGGTTGGCAAGAGTGGGTCTCCTGAAGAACTCGCAACACCTGAGCAGAAGAATCTTGCCTTGCCTGACGTACCCACTAATAACAATCGGAAGGATCAGCCTCATGATGAAAATCTAGTGCCTAAACAGAAGTGCAATCCTACTGTAGTGAATCTGAAGAATCCTGAGGTTGATCAGAGTGGATCAAATGGACTCATCCAGACAATGGCGATGTGCGGGTACCTGCCAATGATGATGTACAATAATAGGTTTAGGAAGTGTGTTCCTTGCTTAAATTCTATGCTCCCGATGCCATCTAACGATAGCATGTTTGGTGACTTTATGCAACTGTTTCATAACGAAAAGGCTAAGCTGAAGGAGAAGTTTTCTACCTTGAGCAGTCGGGTTTGCTTGAGTGCTCATGTGTGGCACCATGATCCACTCTCAGCCTATTTGTGCCTGAGTGTTCATTACATTGATAATGAATGGGAGAGGCAACAGAAGATCATCAGATTTCGTCAGGTAGATCCTTCTTGTAATGCAAGGGAATTGAGTGATGTTATCTTGAGAGCTATTGAAGATTGGGGTCTTCGTGATAAGGTTTTTAGTATTACACTGGATGATGAATTTGCCGATGATTCCGTGGCTTCAAATGTCAAGGACCATCTCCAGAAATGGAACTCACACTACTCAAATCAGAGCTTGTTTGTGGTACGATATGGAACTTATTTACTTGATCAAGTTATTCAAGTGGGGCTGGATGAACTTGACAAAAGTATGGAGAAGTCAATGAAGTGTTCTAAGTTCACGGAGGGCTTCACCTCTTCAGCAGTAAGAAAAGCAAACCACAACTATGCAGAGTCAGCGAAGGACTGGAGCAATGCACGTCCTATTTGTGATACCTTGGAGAGTTTTCACCAGTATATGGACACAATGCATGATTTTCCCCGTCCAAGGCACCTATTTGACAAGGTGTGGGCAGTCAAATGTGATTTGCAACGAAAAGTTGATATCTACAAGGACGGGGCATTTTCTACAGTGCTAAAGAAGATGCAACAGAAATTCGAGAAATGCTGGAAACTCTGTTGCTTTCATTTCTATATGGCCATGGCCGTTGATCCTTCGTACCGTCTGGAACACATCAATTTTCATGTTAGCCTGTACAGAGACATAGATTATATTCGTTATATGCATGATATATTTCTCAACCTCTTCGATGAATAATCTGGCAAGGTGGAAGATACTAACAGTACTTCTGAGACTAGAAATGAAGTTGGTGTGAATAGGGATGACGATCGGCTGAAATATTACCATCAACATCAGTCTGAAATTTCAATTTGTGAGCGACCGATGACTGAGCTTGATCAGTACTTGCTAGAGCCACGTCTCTCTAAAGGTGAGCCTGATGTTCTTCGATGGTGGAAGGGACATAACCTGACCTATCCAACGGTTGCTCGTATGGCACGTGATATATTGGCAATGCCATGCCGTACAAATTGCAATGTAGCAATAAGAACTGCAAAATTTGCTAAATGTGAATCACGCAGTAGTCACGATATTGAAGAGCTTGTTTGTCTTCAGGATTGGCTCACACCTGACGGTATGTCCTACTTATACCCTTGCGTTCTCTTATTCTTTTCCATTAGAGTCTTGTATTTACTGGAATTATCATGATTTCATAGGTCCTGCTAGCCAGACTTCGTCCAGTGATCTTACTGAGTGAAATCAATCTTAGTCTCAAAAGGAAAAGGGTTCAATGTAAGCTGCTTTCATAAACTACCCACACTACATAAAATATGTTATAAATGACTCATCAGTTTCTTTTGTGATGCAGGATTCAAATATGAAAAAAATGCACAAACGACGACTTGTTCAGACAATTTTGGGCATTATGCCAAGTTAATAGTGGTGTTTGTTACTGATGGAGGTGTAAAGAGGCTTTTGTACTGACGTGTTGGGGGTAGTTTGTTACTGGTTCCTAATATCAGCTACTTTGAACTTAAACATTTCATCTGATTATGCTTTATCATTATGTTTTTACAGATATCTTCTTGTGTTGAGTTCATTCCTCTGATGTGCAGTCCTCTTATGGTTTACAAGGCTAAAATATATATCCCTTTCTTTGCTAATTCCTGTACGTCAGTTTAATTTGCTGGTCAAAAAAGTTCAGACTCTCTGAAGTCTGAACAATAAATATGTTGAGATAATGATTTTTTTTTTTTGATCTAGGAGAGCAGCGCTCCCCCCTATCTTCAGAGGTCATCCTCTAAACTATGCTAAACCAGACATGATCTATAACCTTCTGGCACTGGCCATTGCCTATGGATCTGCATCTCTGTGACTGTACTGTGAACAATATTAGCTCAGTTCTGCTCTTCCAAATTTCAGACTAAACCCTTGGACGGCCACCGGAGCACCTGGTCTAGCAGTGCACACTGGTAAGCTCCTGGAATTCAAAACGGCGATGCCTGGGACGACACGAATTCTAGATGAAGAATGCATCATTATTGGTGCCTCGGATATTGCTGCAGATTTCAAACTGAATAGTAAAATTTGCAAAGTAATTGGAGTGAGCAATTGTAGTATGTTGATGGAATTGGATTTGGATGCTTTCTGAATCTCTCTGTTCAGGTCAATTTGCAGAGTTGTAAACTACAGACCCAAAAGTTTTCACCATGCCAATTACATGACATGAGAGATGAAACAAGCTGATATCCATAGTGACTGTATGAGAGCTTAGCTAGGGAGCAATGTACTGTGCAAAACGAAAGATATAGGCTGTGTTTAGTTCCCTTTAAACTTCTAAAAATTCTGTCACATCAAATGTTTAGACACATGCCAATTTGCGGAGGACTGCTTTTAGACCTCCTTGATTTCCCTTTTGTTTCAAAACCTTTTCTTCCCTTCTCTGGGACTACAAGTTTTTTAATTTTTTCTCCTATCAATTAAATTCCGGTAGCTCTCCTGCCGTCGTTTCCCTAAAAAAAAAATGTTTAGACACATGCATGGAGCAACTAACTGCACTTTTGCATGTAAATTGTGAGACGAATCTTTTAAGCCTAATTACGCCATGATTTGACAATATGGTGCTACAGTAAACATTTGCTAATAACGGATTAATTAAGCTTAATAGATTCATCTCGCAGTTTACATGCGGAATCTGTAATTTGTTTTGTTATTAGTCTACATTTAATACTTTAAATGTGTGTCCGTATACTTCAAAATTTTTACACCTAAACAATTAAACATGGCCATAATGTGGTAGAAATTTGAGAGGAATACAAAGAGAGATGAAAACTCCGCCCAGTTAGCTAACGTGCAGCCCAGCCGAATGGAGGAGGCCGGATCGCTCGCTCTCTCCAGCGCCTTTCTGCCACAGGTGTGGGCATAACCCACATAGTAGATTGGTTTTGAAAACGAATTCAAAAAATAAGTTTGAAAAAAATTAAAAATACTAACTAAAGGAAAATTAATTTTGTTTACATGTAAATAAATACATTGAAACTTTGTACAGATATCCATGCGGGTAGACTTTTAAAATATAGCAACATTCTATATAAAATGCATTTGAATCCGAATTGAAATTCAAATTCGAATTGGATATATGCACTTTAGGTAAAAAAAAGAAATTCATGCGGTACCAAATATGAAAATGAAAACTCGAGATTGTTTGGAAATGAAAGGAATTTCTTTACTTTTTTTTTTAAAAAAAATGCAAGATCGGCCCCGTTTGGCTGAACCATACTGGGCCTCCAAACCTGAACTTATTCCGGTTTGGATAGGTTTGCCTCTGATTTTTTTTTTGATTTTTTTTGTGGGGTAAGCTAACGAGGAAGCAGCGCGAGGTGGCGGGAGAAAGCGGCGCGAAAGGCTTCACCATTCCCTCCATCTTCTTCTCCCTCTCGATCGTCTCCTCCGCCGCTTCTCCCCTCTCCCCACCCCACCTCGCGCGGAATCCGAACGCCGCTCTGCTGATCCGCCGCACCCGCTCCATCCGAGTGTCCTCCCCTTTCCCCTTGGGCTGGAAAGATCGGTATGTGTTCTTGATTTCTTTCTTTCTTTTTTTTTGTTCCTTTTCGGGTGTTTGGGGGGGGGGGGGATTTGGCTTCTGTTAATTTGTTTTAAGGTTGTGGATTGAATGCGATTGGTGATTTGTGATTCCTGGGTGCAGGTATGGATGATCAGGAGTGTGACTGTCCAAGCGGCGTCGGCAAACAAGGGGATAAAGAACTGAATGGTGAGATTCTCCCTGGCTACCCCATATGGACTGAAACACACATCTCTTCATTTTTTGTACCGTGTGTTCTTGCAAGTGCAAGTAACTAGTTCATTTCGAATGTAAGAGTAATAGGCAGGTTCATAGTCTACTAGTAGAGTAGTAGTAGTTTCTGCTGCAGTGCTTGTCTGCAAATATTTCCTCGAGATGCTGCTTTTCCAGCTGTTCACAGATCTGATATTATATGAACTCTGCATTATCGAGATGCTAAACCCCTTGCATAAAAGGAAGAACCTATGTTGAGGTGCAACTTTAGTCTTGTGATGCATTTGGCTAGTTCAATGTTTTCACAGGACATGTACAAAGTATGCTCAGTCAATTCCCATTCAAATAAATTAGGCCAATCAATTTCTAGACATGTTTTACTCAATTGATTGCGTTTCTTAAGTACAGCGTTTCCTGATGTCTAGGTATGAAAAATGAGGTTGACGATGCCAATGACAAGGTTGAACAAGAGGAAAGCTCAGGCAGCGCGCCAAGCCCATTGTTCTTAGGCACACGGCCGAAAAGGCTCCAGTCAAAGGTTTGGGATGACTTCACACCCATCTTCATCGATGGGAAGGTTGCGAGGGCTGAGTGTATGCATTGCCATCGAGTCTTTAACAGTGGCACAAGCAACCTGCTTAAGCACCAGGCCAAGTGCAGCCCCCAGGCACAGAAGAGGCCCATGCAACAGAAGCTTCCCATATCGCTCTCAATTGAGAATTAGTCTGCCGAGGAACATGGTGCACCTGTGCAGGACACTCCCACAGACACAAATACAAAGAACCTGCAGGTTGATCAGAATGTGACTGATAAGCTCGTTAGGATATCGCTAATGCACGGGTACGTTCCGTCGATGAGGAACCATGATGAATTCAGTGAGTTTGTTGCTTCCTTGAACCCCAAGGTCGAGCTGCCATCTGATGTTGACCTGTATTTGTACTTCACGAGGCTGTTTGAGGAAGAAAAGGCCAATCTTAAGAAGCAGTTTGAATCTTCGAATAGTCGGGTCTCCCTGAGTGTTTATGTTTGGCACTATGATACACACTCACCGTATTTGTGCTTGAGTGTTCATTACATCGATGATCAGTGGGAGAGTAAGCGAAAGATCATTGCATTCCGGGCTGTGGATTCTTCTTGCAATGCAAAAGAATTGATTAAAGTCATATTGATAGCTATTAAAGATTGGGGTCTTCTTGGCAAGGTTTTCAGCATTGCACTGGATGACACATTCATTGACAATTCAGTGGCTTCAGATGTCAAGGACATCCTCCAAAAATGGAACTTGCGGCATGCAGATCAAAGCTTATCTGGAAACCAGAGCTTGTTTGTGGTACGTTACGCAACTCATCTACTTGATCAGGTTATTCAGGTGGGGCTCAACGAGCTTGACAAGATCATGGAAAAATCAAGGAAGTTCTCTAAACTTGACAAATTCATGGAGAAGTCGAGAAAGTTTTCTTCATATCCAAAGGGCCCCGCTCCTTTAGCATTACAGTATCCAAATCATAGATATGCACCATCATCGGAAGACTGGGTTAAGGCAGAGAATATTTGTGAGATATTGGATGATTTTCATAAACAAAAGGACGAAATACCCAAACATCACAGTCCACTTAAACTCTTTGACACGATCTGGCATGTGAAGAATGTTGTGCACCGTAAACTTCTTTACCATGATGACAAAGAGACTACCTATGTGTGGGAAAAGATGCAAGAACAATTCAAAGAACAATGGAAAGTCTGTTGCTTACATATCTGCATGCCTATGATCATAGATCCTAAATACCGCCTGGAAATCATCAAGTCACATATTCCGCTTGATTTGGACAATGACATGATAGATTATATTGAAGAAGTAAATGACATATTACTCAGGCTCTTCCATGAATATTCTGGTCAGGTTGAAGACCCTAACTGCACTTCTAGTTCTGAAACTAGTGGCGGGCATTCTTTGTATCCAGATGACAAGTTGGTATTTCATTACCTTGGTTCTGAATTTCCACAGTGGTGGCGACCGATGACTGAACTTGATCAGTATTTGCAAGATCCATGTCTCTCAAACGATAGGATCGATGTTCTGCGATGGTGGAAGGAACATAGTATGATATATCCTACAATCTCTCGGATAGCACGTGACATATTGGCAATACCTTACGGTGCTGATTATGAGGTAGCAACAAGGACTGCAAAACTCGCACTTGTTGAGTCAGATGGTAGCCACTTTGTTGAAGAGCTTGTCTGTACTCAGGATTTGCTCAGATCAGGCGGTAAGTTTGTGCCCTTGCTGTTCTCAATTGCTATCCAATTGCATTACTGTACTAACTGCTGTATACATGTTCTTGTAGGTTACGCAAATAGAGTTGTCATTCGGTGATAATTTTTGGGGACTATAGCTCAACCTTTTCCTAATGTTTTATGTAAGCTGTTTTCCTGATGTTCTCACTGTGATACGTGCTACTAACGATAGCTCAGTAGTTACCTTTCTAATGCAGGATTCAAAGACGACAAAATGCGTGTGCCTTTTAGGTTCAGGAAATTTTGAGAACAATATGCTAAGTTCATCTGGCAACTATGATTAACAGCAGCCTTTGTCAGTGATGGATGTGTAATGGGGCTTTTGTATGTATGTGTGGAGGTCTTCTGGTTTCAGATATTCAACATATAAACCTGGTTATTTAAACTTATCAATCATGTGATATTTAATCATTATGTTCTGAGTTCACTATACTTTTCAGTTCTCTTTATGGTTTCCTTAGGCTAGAGTACACTATTTCCATTTCTTCTCCCTGGATCAATCTGATTTATTGACCAAAATAAATCAGGCTTTCTCTGAAGAATTATATACCACTTGATCTTGTCATGTATTTACCACTTCAAATAATCATGAACCGTGATGCATCATGCATGAATCACAGAAGAAGTTAGCAGTTCATCATCAGCCACTTTTCTGTAAGATCGTAACCTTGAAGATCATCATTTGGGGTCCCAACTAGTCCATGGGACAAAACTAAATTTTCAGAACATCATCGACAGCCCACAAAATTTGTAGTGCCATTCTATTCTCAAAACTTCCTTAATTAAGCTTAAACTAAACATGATCACAGATTCACAGCCCTGCTGCCCTGTGCCATGGCCTATGGATCCGGATCTCTACATAATTAGCAGTTCGTTCTTTGTTAGTTCAACTCAATTCATCTATTCCAACATAAATACAGATTCTTGTGGAGAGTGCAGTAATCACCCGAACACAGCAGCAAATTTATTACGTGGGTGCATTTTCAATAGAAATTGGGTGTAGCTATATTTATGGCGTCATATTTTTCATCAAAAAAAGTCGGCATGTATTTACATTATAAGTCCCTAAATTACATATGTAATTTTAATATATATACAATGTAAGTCTCAAAATTACATATGTAAATACTAAAATTACATATGTAAATTCAAAAATTACATACTAATTACATATGTAAGTGGGGTGTAAATGATGTGTAACTACTGTGTAAAGTGGCTGAAAAAAATAGACTATAGCATATGGCGCCATATTTTTAGCAACTCCGTAGAAATTTAGCGAGGTTAGAAATTTGCTGATCATGAGCGTGTGTTATGAATCGCTTAGGTGCAAATCTTAGCAAATTCTGATTAGAATTACGTTGTTAATTTTATTTCTATAAATATAAGCGCCAGCTTACTGGGCCGAACCAATTTGCTAAATGGGCTTCAAGCCTTTTTTTCAGTTCAGGCATGGGCTCTATTCTCTGGAAATTGGGGCCCACGAGGTAAGTGACCGAGAAACTCGGATGCTACCGCGAGGTTTGGCGCGAAGGGCTCTTTCCAGGTTTTTACCATTCCCGCCATATATTATCTCTCCTCATCTCATTCTTCGAGGCCGAGAAGGGGTGATAGAACCGAAATCCCAGCGACGGCGGTGGCGGTGGGGAATCCAGTCCCTACCGGCTACCGATCCGCCGCGTCCGATCGGCCTCTCCATACTGGGATCGCAAATATTGGTATGCGTCTTCTCGAATCCTTGTTCTTTCTTCATTTTTGGGTGTTGTGGTGATGTGTCGGTGATTCCTTTGTGGTGGATTTGGGTTCTTGTCGATTCGTCTGTATTGCGCGTGCGAGGATGTGATTGGAAAATTCTGCGATGAATGGATTGCTTCTGTTTGTTTTCCAGGGCATGGATCAAGATTGCGATGGCGCAAACCATGGCGGCACAGAAGAGGAAAGGGCACTGAATGGTACTGCACCCCTCTCTCACTCACAGGATAACATCTTTAGGTGATTTGAATCCATCGCAGCCCTGCGTAGTTTGTCACTATTAGTTTCTGTTGCGCTCTATTATTAACTATTCCTCTAGCTGTTAATTGTCTAGTTTGTTACTTTGTTCATAAATCTGACACTCGACGAGTTCTACATTGCTGAAATGTGTAGTCATTTTGAAAAATTAACAATGATAACAACAAACGATATTGCAATTAGTCTTACGGTGCGTTAGGCTTTGATCAGTATATAGGATTCTGTTCAAATCTGATATGCACTAAATCTGCTCAATCAATTCTTTTTTGTCACAAAGTTTGTTCAAATAAATTAGGACATTGTTCACTCAAAGGCATAATTTACTTGATTGCATCTTTACGCAATTATTCGTCCTTTCCTCATGCTTAGGTATGGCAGATAAACTTGAGAATGCTGATGACATGGTTGAACAAGAGGAAAGCTCAGGCAGCGCGCCAAGCCCATTATTCTTAGGCACAAGGCCGAAAAGGCTGCGATCAAAGGTGTGGGATGACTTCACACCCATCTACATCGACGGGAAGCTTGCGAGGGCTGAGTGCATGCACTGCCACCAAGTTTTCAACAGCAACAGCACCAATGGCACTAGTAGGCTGCTAAAGCACCAGGCCAAGTGCAGCCCCCATCCCCAGAAAAGGCCAATGCAACAGAAGCTTCCGTTTCCGCCATCCAGCCAGAAGAGTCTCATGGAACCCAGTTCTGATCCGACACAGAAGAAGCTCCCATTCTTGCCGATCAGCCAAAAGAGATGCTCAGGTACAGACGATGCGATGCCTCACAGGAAGGATCCTGCCTTGCCTAACACCCTGAATGACATAAACCGGAGGAGTCAAGAGATTGGCAAGAGTTTAGCTCGTAAGAAACTCGCAACACGTGAGCAGAAGAATCCTACCTCGCCTGACATCACTAATAATGATCAGAAGGATCAATGGGATGATGAACACCCAGTGCTTAAACAGAAGTGCACTCCTGCTGGCACGAATCTGAAGAATCCTGAGGTTGATCAGAATGGACTCATCCAGACATTGGCAATGTGCGGGTACCTTCCATTGATGATGCACAATGATAGTTTTAGGAAGTGTGTTCCTTGCTTCGATTCTATGGGGAAGATGCCAGCGAACACTAACATTGGTGGTGGCTTTCTGCAACTGTTTGACAAAGAAAAGGCTAAGGTGAAGGAGAAGTTTTCTGCTTTGAGCAGTCGGGTTTGCTTGAGTGCTCATGTGTGGCACTATGATCCATTCTTGGCCTTTTTGTGCCTAAGTGTTCATTACATTGATGATGAATGGGAGAGACAGCAGAAGATTATCACATTTCGTGAAACTAGGAAGGTAGCCCGCGTTAATACGCGGGCATGCGTCGTACACTAAGTTTGAGACACTTGTAAGAGCGAAATATTAACCGAAGAACATCTATCACGATTTCTCCGTTAATTGTTTTAGTCGGCATTAATTGCTTTTATAATTTTTTAACCTATTAGCTTTATATTATATCATATTTAAGTAATACTATCTATAAACAAATTATTTATAATCTTTTTCATCATTTGGAAAGAAGGTAGACTTATTTTTTTTTAGAGAATATGTCAACGAAAAGTAAGTGTAAAGTAAAAGTAAGGTATTTTTTTAATTGCATATATATTATCATGGTTTATTCGAGAATGAATTGGGTGAGACATGAACCTCCACTAAATGTATGGGTTTATATAGCCTAATATGATAGATGTAGTTTGACAGCCAGTCCATCTATGAACATTTTATGTAGAGTGGGTCAGAGGTTCCACGCCAGCTAACGTGAATATGATAACGACGAAATATAATTGCGCAATAATACTTTTGAAATGTGATGTACCATGAATACACGCTTTTTTTTTCTTATATAAGATAGATCTAACAGTTAGAAATAATAATTCCACTGGTTTAAAAGTCATAGGAGTATTCCAGAAATGTACCTTAAATATTATGGTTGTTTTAATATCCAACATTATTACGAAGTGAATGTAGCTCAATTGGTTAGGTTCTCTGTGGTGGAACTTGCCCACTCGGGTGTAAGTCCTAGATGTAAAATCAAAGGTGTTTTTGATTATTATTCTGTGATGAACAATTGGGCATTGGAGATTATTGGTTTTGTTATTTGGAATTTATTCATGAAGTGGTTTTGGAGATGATTGGATTTCACAGGTGAATCTACAGGTTAAAATTTTATGTGGACCGGTCAGACCGGGCAGGTATTGCCGGTCAGACCGGCGGTGATCGAGCGGTCGGACCGGCCAGCCCGCGGTCTGACCGGCCGACACTGTGTCGGTTTCGGTTTCGGGTTGTTTATTTGGATATCCGAGTTTATTTCATGATTATAACTTTTAGATGGATACTATACGTATGTAATACTATTGTTTGCTGCTAATGAGTCAAGTTGGAGATAGCTTGGTCTCGGAATATGGTTTCTTTGTTTGTTCCATGTGTAGGTGACTTGATGTCTCGGGAGAGTATTTGCGGTGATGGACCGGGAGTCGGCTTGGGGATAAGACGACGTCCGTGGTGGTCAGAGATCATGCGGGATACTTAGGCTAGAGTTGATGCAAGTGGTTGATGGAGTTTCCATATGGCATACGATGGAGTTATTGTGTGCGTATGGGATGCGGAGTTGAATTTGGAAGGAGTCCAAATTTGGTACGATTGGTTATGTAAAGTTTCTTTCTTGTACTAGTGGGTTTCCTAAGGTGTTTAGGACTCCTAGTATGAGTTTGGTTCGTGGCTTTAGGCTGCCTACCTCATGTATAAATAGAGGGGGAGCGTGAGGCTTCCCGGTATTACTTTAGAGAGCAATAGAGTTGAGTTTTGAGTTAGGGTTTCGAGTTTAGTCGAAATTTTTGTAAGGAGTGTTGTTGGGGCACTTTGTAAACACAGAGAGAATCAATAAAGTCGTCATCCACTTTAAGAGTTCTTCGATTTGTGTTTACCGGGTTTCAGTGGTCTAACCGGCTATCTACCGGCGGTCAGACCGGCGAGAGCACGGCGGTCAGACCGACAGCGGCGACAGCAGGCGGCAGGCGATCTCGGCGGTTAGACCGGTAGATCAACACCGGTCAGACCGGCGGCTACGCTTCGGTCAGACCGGCTAATCTACTCCGGTCAGACCGATCTCCATCGAGTTCGAGGGTAACTTTTATTTCCGCTAAAAGTTTTCAGATTTTGGGTATACCAACCATTCACCCCCCCTCTGGTTGGCTTAGTTCTTGTGATTCGATCCTATACTAGACTTGACAAATTCTTTCAATGGTAGGCGACGTACCTGTCGACAATGAGGTGCGTAGCGACTTCGTCAATGTCAAAATATGTCAGTCTAATCTCTCAGAAGTACTCATAGAGGTATATGCATGTGTGCATTAATAGAGGGTGAGTGTGTGCGCGTTGTGAGTTTTTGCGTTTGTACTTAGTTTCTAAAAATATCAAACATTATATATTGTTTCTCTTTTAATTTAAGAGATAAAACAATAGGGAGTGGATGACAGTATTTGTTCATGGGAGGGTGAGGAGGTGGTGAAGATTTTATTTTTCTATTTTTCTAAATGATTTAAGTGAAAGCCGATGACGGGGTGTTTCATTTTTTCTAAGAATTTCTATGGTTTTTCCTGTTTTCATAGGAGGTGACACATGGCGACTTAAGATTTTTTTAAAAAAAATAGATCTAATAGTTAAAAATAATAGATAGGTCAATGTAATTACTATTTATTTTACGACATATTATACGGTGATTTATGAGCGCTCTAGAGCGTGTTTAATTGATTTTTGTTACGTACAATAAATGATTTAGTATAACATAATACATATGTACAATTAATTTTCCGTTGTTATTTAGTTGCCATGTTAACTTCTATGTAGTAAAATATAGTTAATGTGATCTTGATTTATTTATTTATTTATTTATAAAAAAAACTATAAATATTTATAAAAAAACATACTTTTTTTATACCCGGAAGGTATGGAATAAAAGTACAAAGCCACCGGCAAGTATATCTATGTACTATATACTAAAAGATCATTAAATACTGTCTAATAAAGTCATTTAAATGGTACCATAGAATATATTCTAGAGCACTTAGGTAGAAGATCGATTGGCACTCTTGGATTGGATTGTTTCCTCTAACTGGCAGAACTGCATTTTTCGATCAATCACAAATAAAGATATAAAATTATAATTGTTGTGGTAGCTAGAGTCAAAAGCCGACCTTAACCAAATATGTCATTTTGGATATGTATTGGGAGTGAAAACATAAAGTAAACATCGATTGTGCCAATATAGAGCCTGAGGGGCATTGTATGTATGTACATATGTACACCATCGCCCAACATCCACCCCCTTCGCCTCATTCATGCCCTCTCCCAATGTACTGTCTCTCATGTTTTCATCATATATTAGTCAGGAACCTTAATTTATTATAATCTTTTAAAATAAATAGCTATTTTTTATCGACTTATGTCTTTGGACCATTATTAACTATATTTGAACTTCTTAAATAAATATGTTATTTTTGGGTTATATTCTGACTATTTTCATATCATTTAAATAATTATTAGAAAATATGAAAAAAACCAATGATATATACTTTACCTGTTGAAAATATTTTTGTTGAATTTTCTTTACATATATGTATAATGTAGGATTTATTACTATTGAAATACCAACCAAACAGTTTCAAAAAATTCCAAAATGATTTGAGAATGTTAATCTCACACAAATTAAAATTTAAATTGGATCTACTTAAAAAACACAAATAAATTACATGGTTTGCATTTTTACATAGTTCAAATTACCGTTATATATTTGTTAAGTAATATTTGATACCATAAAGTATATAGTTTGATGCGATTTTTTTTTTGAAAAAATTGTTATGGAGTTAATTAATACATGTCGATGTCATTTGCCGCAATGTATTTTGTGCTAAAATATAGCGAACATAAGACATCAATGTAAAATCATAATAAAATAAATGGTAATTATGTATTTTTATTAGTAAGATGAATAATCAAACATATGCTCAAAAGTCAATAGCGAAAAAAGTAATATAAAAATATTTAGGGGTACCCTAGGTAAAAAAATAAAAGTGGGGTGAATGGGAATAGAAAAAAGAGTAAATTTCATAAAACTACACGTTTTATGGTCCAAGTTAACAGGATGCCACGTCCTTATCCTAGGTGGAACAATCACGTCATCTCACAGGTGAATCCATTCATTGATAGTGTAGTTTTGTCAAACTACACTACCAAAATATATGTACTTGAGTGCCAAGTGTCAAAGTGTGTGTGGTTTCTGCAATTTGGACCACAAAACGTGCAAGGAGAGGAGAGGAAGGAAGGTTTTAATCTAATCAAATGGTGCAAAATAATGGATCCACCAATTTAAATGAAAATTGAGGGCTAGATGTTTCCCGTCTATTAAAAGGCAAAATTGGTTACATAGCATCGAAAGTTCACGTTTTTTGTTTTATAGCACCGAAAGATACCGGTTCATTTTAATAGCACCCAAAGTTCACCATGTTCCTATTTTTAACACTTTCGTCAATTCTCGATCATTTTCCGTCAGTCTTGATCCAGCCACACACACGATATGACGTTTCTACCCTCACAAGTACAAGTTGAATGCATGTCAATGAGGGGTAGAAACGTCAAATCATCTGCGTGGCTGGGTCAATATCGATCAAGACGGACGGAAAAATTGACGGAAGTGTTAAAAATAGGAACAGGGTGAACTTTGGGTGCTATTAATGTGAACCGGTATCTTTCGGTGCTATAAAACCAAAAACGTGAATTTTCGATGCTATATAACCAATTTTGCCTTATTAAAATGCCACGTCGCGGTTTAGAAGCGTTTGTAGGAAGTTTAACGGACTTTTAGTATATAATAATAGATAGATTTAAGTAAATATATTTATATTTGTGAAGTTATATATTTTATTTTTATATTATAGAAATCATATTTTAAAGACCATTGATTTTTATATGGATGTATGTTTTTTCTGTCTTTTTCTATACATGTGCATTTTTTTCTTCCAGCAAAGAATAGGAAAGCTTTATCGTTTTGTTTTCAGTCACGTGCATTTGTACGTAGGGAAAGACAAGAAGTAGCGTTTGCATCGTGTAGCGCTTGTATGTTAACATGAGAAAATTATTTTTTTAATAATAGATCTAATCTAATGGTGTAAAATAACAGGTCCACCAATTTAAATGAAAATCAACGATAAGATTATATAGTGCCATGTGGCGACTTAGGAGTGTTTGTAGGGGTACACGTGGCGGCTTGAGAGCGTTTGTAGGAAGTTTAATGGACTTTTAGTATATAATAACTAGGAAGGCAGCCCGTGCATATGCGCGGGCATCTTATTTAATGTGCATGAAACTTTATTACGAATGTCATGTGTGGGTGGCTTTCTATCAAAAATATTCTTTTACTTTATCCTAAACTAAAATTGAACTTATTTAATGTACTTTGAATATTGGTTATGATTTTTCTTCTAATTACCCTTGCAACATATAAATTGTGAACTAAAATTACTTTAAACCGTGTAGTTTTTAATTTATGATAAAATTTTGTGTCGAAACAATAGATGTGTTTACTGTGAATGTCCATTTTTTTTGTTAGATTCTGTTTGAAATTTTAGATATATTCATTTTATTAGTCCTATCAAAATGTTTGAATATTTCTATTTAAGATGGGTTTTAAGCCCAGCAAAAAAATTTAGAATTAGATAAATTTTGTTCAATTTTAATTTCATTTCTTTTCATCTTTATCTTTTATTTTTTTGGGGGAGAATTCCACTCTATGAGGCATCCTTAAAATGCTTTGATATCTACAATTCGGGATGAAAATATAAGTGAGTTGATCCTGCAACCTGGCATGGGGTAAAGGCATCTATTCTAAATTATATCTCTCTAATTAAGTAAAAAAAAATTAAAATAGAGGTCGTAGTATTTTTTTGGCAAATTACCACTAAACTGGAGTGTCATGTAACAAAAACATGTTTATTGTTCTATGCTAGATGTCAGGAATTCACGATGTATCGGAGTAAGTTTTACCAAAAAGAAATAAATATACATGATCTTTTAATTACTGTCTAAAATTGCCCTTTATATTCCTAAGGCAACATCATGGTTGTTTCACTGTTAAGATTCCACCGACGTTCTTAGTACGATCGGTATGTTCAACTGACCACGTGACTTCATAGAGAACATATATAATTTAGATGCTATGATCATTTTAAGATTATTTATTTATCTCTAAAAAGACAATTTATTGATAAAAGCATCAATATCAAATTGTATGGATGAATAACTCCTATATACATGTTGAGAGAAAAAAATAATTAAGTCGATAGAAAGTCGTTAGATGTCTAACAGGATATAAGTAATGGGTCTACCAATTTTGTGAAAAATTAAGGTGCGATATTTTTTATTTTTAGTGAGAAATTTTAGTATTTTCTTATATTTAGTGGAGGCCTCAATATGGATGCGGGTTGCAGAATGTAACTTTTTTGTTAGCATTTAAATATAGTCAATATGGTTATTAAATTATTGATTTCACTTAAAAAATAATGTGTAGTTCAAACAGATCATAAGAGACATATGGTGGCTATACCTAATAGGTGAAGGTTCGTTTGTGGTCTTCTCTTTGCCCACTAAGATAATTTTAATTTTAATTATCAAGAAATAAAAAAAATATAGAAAAGTAACACACCGCGCACGGGGGATGGGAATGGAGGGAGGGTTGGGATGTTTTTTTTCTTAAAAAAAAGCTTGATCTAATGACCTAAAATAATGTGTTCATGTTTAAGTCAAAACCGATGGTCGAATGTTTTATTTTTTTCTCAGATTTATTAGGATTTTCTATAATTTAAGCGGGACAAATAGCAACTTACCATAGCGTTTATGTGCTTTAATGCCTATAGGGATGGAGTGGAAGGGAAGAAGGTTTGTGATGTTTTTTTAAAGAAAAAAAAATCTAATAACGACGTAAATAATGTGTCCATTGATTTAAGTGGATACCAGTGATTGAATGTATCTCTAATTTAAGAGTGACACACAACGGTTTAGAAATATTTATAGAATGTTTAATGGATTTTAATGCGTATGATGTCTATTTGTGGGTTTTGGAAAATTTAAGAGTGACACACAACGGTTTAGAAATATTTATAGAATGTTTAATGGATTTTAATGCGTATGATGTCTATTTGTGGGTTTTTTCCAAAGAAGATAATTTTAATTTTAATTGTGATAAGCTTTCACATGGAAAACTGTATGTATTATAAAGAAGATGAAAGGATCAGATTAAATTCATTTAGAAATGGTAGTTTTAATCTTGGCCTGGGTAGTTAATAGCCTTAAATTCATTATTTAAGATGAAGAGCAGGAACCGTAGGATGGATATATATATATATATATATATCAGGTTGAATGCTCCATCAAGCGACCATTGATGATCCTATTCATTGTTAATTTTTCTTCCAGTTATATTCTGATTTGCATTCTTGGTCTGGGCTATGATCAAGTAACGGTAGTAGCGTATTGGCCGCTGGTGCCGAAGGAACCGATATCAGATGCGAGATTATTTAATTCTCTCCAAGGACGAACATACCCTTTCTAATTGATTTTCAGACTGTTAAGCACCTTCTAATCTTAGACTCTCATCTTTAAAATTCGTGCAGTTTTTTTAGTGGAAGAGCGAAGCGCATCTCGATATGAAAACAGAGAAACGGCATAAAAATCACTACGTGCGGGGACAGTGGGAGGTTTTGGTTTTCTAAAATAGATCTAACGATCTTAAATAATGGGTCCACCGATTTAAGTAAAAATCAATGGTTAGATTTCTCTATTTTATTAAAGTGCCACGTGGCGACTTGAGAGTATTTATAGTAGCCCGCGCATTCACGCGGGCATGCGTCGAACGCTAAGTTTGAGACACATTTGCCATGATTTCTCCATAATTTTTTCATCGGTATTAATTAATTATTTTTATAAGTTTCTAACCTATTAGCTTTATATTATATCATATTTAAGTAATATTTATAAGCAATTATTTACAATCTTCTTCATCATTTGAAAAGAAGGTAGACTTACTTTCTTCTTTAGAAAACATGTCAACGAAAGTAAAAGTAAGGTATTTTTTTAATTGCATATAAATTATCATAGTTTATTATGGGATGAATTGGGGACTATTAGAAGGACAGTGAGAAGAGTTAGGGAGACAAAGGGAAGATAGGGAAGAACAAAAGAATATACGGGATCCGTGAGGATATCATTGCGGGGAAGTTTTTAGTCTATTTTTTATTTAGTGGAGACACATTTTTTTATTAAGTAATTGGTACAATTAAATTATAGTATCAAATTTTAGTTGTATATATACATTTTTCATCTTTTAAATTTGATGCGTGTAGTTGGTTATTTGACACTACTTAAAAAATTATAGACACCATGAAAATTATAGACACCATGAAAATACGTAGAGCATCGTCATCATTGTTATCATGGATCTAATTTAGCTACATGATGCGTAGAAAATTGGCCCATGTGGCATATCATTTCTATAGTCAAAATATAGTTAACATGGGTCTTAAATTATTAATTTAATCACAAATAATATAAATATACAAACCAGTTGGAAATTAGATGCACAGTTATTTTGAAGTAGTTAACCACGGTATACTCTTTCACGATGTAAGTACACTTTATTTGTTGACTAACTTACGTAGTACACTGAGAGAGAGAATGTTCGTTATTTCTTTATCGCTCCAAGGCCGAACATAGGCATGTTATTTTACAAATCTAATCTTACTGTGTGACATACATACCGGATCCAACAGCTTTAGTTGAAATCGACGAACAGATCTTTTTCTCTTTTTTTCTGATAACTTGAGAGTTATAATCTATCTAATTAATAATTTTTATAAAAAACCGATATATACGACCCTAATTCTCCCGATGGAAATATTATTTTTGAATGTTTTCACATATATGTATCATGTATGCTTATCGCTCCTCAAATACCATCCAAATAATTTTGAATCATCCAAAACAAATTGTGAGAATATACATGAAATTTAAATTTAATTTGATAAGCATGAAAAACATAGCTAAATTTCATTGTTTTCATTTTTACACACACACACACACACACACACACACACACACACACACACACACACACACACACACACACACACACACACACACACACACACACACACACACACATATATATATATATATATATATATATATATATATTCAAATTAGCGTTGAATATTTGTCCAGTGATATTTGACACCATACAAATATAAAAATATGATGTGAAATTATTTAAAAATATCATAACATCATTTATTACATGTCGACGCATATGTCATGATGTATTTAGCACTATAGTATAGCCATTATACAACATGATGGTAAATTGTACAGTAAAAAAAAACATGATGGTAAATTGCATGTATAATTTAAAAGTTATGAACGTTTCAAGACCGGTGATATATTATGTCATAATCTATGTCGTCAAGTTTGCTACTTTTATTTGCATAACATGTAAAATGTTAGAACATAGTTCCATGTGCAACTTTTTTAATAAAAGCATAGTTCTTAACATATTTTCTTAAGAGAAATTATCTGGCACTCTATTCAATCATATTGACCAAATTAATTACAATCTGCCTAAAAATTAACAGACTCAATGGTAGCGAGAAACACATGGAAAAAAAATTCACTCGAGTAATAATCTCACTAACATGAGTTAGTGGGTTTTGATATTATTATGGATCTAATAATTTTTAGATACTTTTTAATACTTATATCGTAACCCTGCACTATATTAAAGAAAATGTAAAGATAAGCTATATCAAAGAATACTCACGGCGTGTGTCACGTGGTTGTTATAGATCTAATTTAGCAATGCATGTTGGTGAGCAAATGGTTGTCAATACTATTTGCTACGTGAGAAGGACATGCAAAAGTATATAATGTGACATTTTTTATTAGAATATAGGCTATTTCACTAAGAAAGGCTATAATAAAATATTTCGACAACGAATATTACGCACATGTAGGTGCACTTTCAATAGGATTATATAAACGTGTGTTAGAAGGTGCATTTGCGGAGATGTGAGTGTGAAGTTGCGTATGTGGTGGTGTGTGTGTGCGCGTGTTTGTCTACTTTATAAAATAAATAAATACATTATTTCATATGTGAACATTTTTTAATTAAAATGTAGTTAGTATAAAAATATAGTTAATATAGGATGCAATATATTTTCTTCTGTTTTATATTGAAGATAGATCCTATTTTAAATAGTGAATTATGGTTTAAATAATCACTATGGTAGAAAATAAAGAGAGTAAAAGAAACCATAGAGGAGGGTGCGGATCATGAACTGATCATGTGTATATATACAAACATAACAGGTTTGAATATAAAATTAAGAGGGAAGGATGGATTTACTTTTTCCCAACTGTATCTACAAGTTTTATTTTCTGCTTTTTTTCAGCATATAGTGAGTACCACGTGTAATTATATTTGGAAGGACAGATGGTAGATACGCATACAAACAAAACAACTTTTGGTTGTGTTCACAGGTCTAGGTTCCAATCCTTGCTTCCCGCACGTATGATTTCCGCTACTACTAAACGGTGTATTTTGTTTCCAAAAATTTTTTATAGAAATGCGGCTGTAAAAAGTCATATTAACCCGTTTTAAGTTTTTTAAACTAATACTTAGGCTGTGTTTAGATTCTAACTTTTTTCTTCAAACTTCCAACTTTTCCGTCACATCAAATGTTTGGACACATGTATGGAGCATCAAATGTGGACAAAAAGAAAAACTAATTGCACAGTCCGACTGTAAATCACGAGATTACATTTAAAGAAATAATTAATCCGTCATTAGCACATGTGGGTTACTGTAGCACTTATAGCTAATCATGACGTAATTAGGCTCAGAAGATTTGTCTCGCAGTTTACAGTCGGAATCTGTAATTTCTTTTGTTATTAATCTACGTTTAATACTTCAAATGTGTGTCTGTATATCTAAAAAAAATTGCCAAACTTTTACAGCATCGAAACATGGCCTTATTTTTTTTTAAGAAAAAGCTAATTAATACTTAGCATCGAAACATGTGCATAATAATAAGTAACCTCGTATTCCATATTAGGACGGAAGGATTAACATTTTTTTCCTAATCGTACACGCGTACAGAGGTAATATGTATGTTTATTTTCTACTTTCGTCCGGTGAACAGTGCATATATACGTATTTTCTTTGACGTATATCTGCTGATGACATTTTTGACCGGCACAATACCCTCGCACCTGTCATACATAGGCGGAAGAGAAGGGGTGGGATTTTTTTAATCTAATCTAATGGTCCACAATAATGGGTCCACCAATTTTAATGAAAATTAAGGGTTGGATGTATTTCTGCCACGAGGTGGCTTAGGAGCGTTTTTAGATTGCCACGTGGCGGCCTAAGAGCGTTTGTAGGAAGTTTAATGGACTTTTTGCCACGAGGTGGCTTAGGAGCGTTTTTAGATTGCCACGTGGCGGCCTAAGAGCGTTTGTAGGAAGTTTAATGGACTTTTAGTATATAATAGATAATAGATAGATAGATAGATCCTTCTTGTGATGCAGGACAACTGATTAGTATTATATTGGGATCTATTGAAAACTGGGGTCTTCGTGATAAGGTTTTTAGTGTTGTATTGGATGATGAGTTTGTTGATGATTCAGTTGCTTCAAATGTCGAATCCCATCTCCAGAAATGGAACTCCCACTGCGCAAACCAGAGCTTGTTTGTGGTACGATATGGAACTCATTTACTTGATCAGGTTATTCAAGTGGGGCTGGATGAACTTGACAAAATCGTGGAGAAGTCAATGAATTGTTCTGAGAGCACGGAGGGCCTCACCTCTTCAGAAGTAAAATATGCAAACTACAACTATGCAGCATCAGGGAAAGACTGGAGCTGTGCACGTCGTATTTGTGATACCTTGGAGGATTTTCATCGGTATATGGACATAATGCACAATTTTCCCTGTCCCGTGGACCTCTTTGAGAAGGTGTGGCAAGTCAAATGTAATTTGCAACGCAAAGTTGATAACCCCAGGGATGATGCATTTGCTACTGTGGTAAAGAAGATGCAAGAGAAGTTCAAGAAATGCTGGAAACTTTGTTGCTTACATTTCTATATGGCCATGATCGTTGATCCTTCATATCGTCTGGAAAACATCAAACTTCATGTTGACCTGCACACTGACACAGATTATATTCGTTGTATGGATGATATATTGCTCAGGCTCTTTGATGAATATTCTGGCAAGGTGGAAGATTCTAACTGTACTAAGGAGACTAGAAATGAAATCAATGTGAGCAGAGATGATGATCGGTTGAAATATTACCGTCGTTATGGATATCCAATTTGTGAGCGACCGATGACTGAGCTTGATCAGTACTTGCAAGAGCCATGCCTCTCTGGAGGTGAGCGTGATGTTCTTCACTGGTGGAAGGAACATAACCTGACCTATCCAACGGTTGCTCGGATGGCACGTGACATATTGGCCATGCCATTGTTAGATATGTGTATAGCGATGTAGTCTTAGACTTATTTTACTGTTGGCCCATATACCATTGTATATGCTAGTGCTCTCCTGGAATACACAGTACTGATTTTAGCACAATTCACATGGTATCAGAGCAAGGTTGCTCTTACGATTCCCGTCGATGTCCGCCGCCGGCGAGCTCTTCACCGGTCTTGGTCTCCGGCGAGTGTCCTCCCTCATCTCTTCTCCCAGTGGAAGTTTTCTGCTGTGTGTTCTGTTTTTCGTGGTCACTTGATTTTGGGGATCGACCCTCTTCTCTTCTGGCTGGAGCATCTTTTTCTCCTGCTGGATCTGCTTGACTGCTTTTTCTCCTGCTTCTTTTTCTCCTGCTCGAGGTTGCATTATCCAATTGTGCTAGCTGCAGTGGTGTCGGCTAGCTGCAGTCTGCAGGACCCGCAGCCTCCATCCTTTGCTGTCGCACTTGCCGCCAGGACTCTTTCCAACAAATCTGCCATGTGTTGGATCTCCTGCTGCTGATTACAATACCTAATTGCAGCCACTAATTGCAGCAGCGGCAGCCCAGTGCAGCAGTGCAGTAGCAGCGTTTCAAGTGCAGCAGCAGCTCAGCCTTTCAGATTGCAACCATGGCATCAGATCCACTTGGGAATGTCATTCTTTTGCCTTTGGATATAAAACTCAATGGACAAAATTACCGTGAGTGGGCTTCCTCTGCTCGTATGCAACTCAGGTCGTATGGTGTGGCCTCTCACTTGAATGATGATCCACCTCATGAGAAGGAAGATGAGAAGAAAATTGCAGCTTGGCGACGTAATGATGAGCGTGTGATGGCCTTCTTGTGCATGAGCGCTGAGGTCCCCATTAGAATGAATTTTATTGATCTTTCTTCTGCTAAGAAGATGTGGGAGTATCTTCAACAACGCTATTCGAGATACACTTGGATTTACTTCATGAAACACCGTTCACAACTTTTATCCATATACCAATCCTTTATTCGCATGATCCATACTCAGTTTTCTGCTACTATTCGTATTTTTCGTTCTGATTCAGGAGGGGAGTACCTCTCAGCTGCTTTTCGACAACTTCTTTCTTCCGAGGGTACTCTTCCTCAGCTCTCTTGCCCTGGTGCCCATCCTCAAAATGGTGTTGCTGAGCGCAAGCACCGGCATATCATTGAGACTGCACGCACTCTATTGATTGCATCATTTGTACCTTCTCATTTTTGGGCTGAAGCTGTTTCCACTGCTGTTTATCTCATCAATATTCAGCCATCATCTCGCCTTCAAGGAAAGTGTCCAGGAGAGGTTCTATTTGGATCTTCCCCATGCTATGATCATCTTCGTGTTTTTGGTTGTACTTGCTATGTTCTTTTGGCATCTCGAGAGCGCACCAAGTTGTCAGCTCAATCAGTTGAGTGTGTTTTTCTTGGCTATAGTATTGAACATAAAGGGTATCGTTGTTATGACCCCTCTTCTCGTCGTATTCGCATATCTCGAGATGTCACTTTCATTGAGGATCGTCCATATTTCTACTCTAAAATCTCGTCCTCCTCATCTCCTCAGGAGTCCATTTCTTTTCTCCATCTTCCACCTATTCCTTCTCAAGACCTAACTACCATCAGTGAGACACCTTCTCCATCTTCCATTCCTTCACCCTCTTTGGATATACCATCATCCACTCTAACACCAAGGTCAGAGATGTCACCTTTTCCTTTCCACTATAGTCGTCGACCTCGAACTCCACATGAGTCTCAGCCTCCCTCTTGTCTTCCTTCAGATGTTCCAACTAGTACCATTAATGCTCAATCTGATGATCCACCCGTTGCTCCGCTCATTGATGATCCACTTGTGTCATCACCACAGTCTGCTACACCACGATATGGTCTTCGAGATCGCAGCAAGATAATGCCTCATCCTCGCTATATGTGTGCAGCAATTGATGGTGTTCAGGAGCCTAGTACATATCAAGAGGCTGCTGCCATTCCTGAGTGGCAATTGGCTATGACAGAGGAGCTTGCTGCCTTAGAGCGAACAAGAACCTGGGATATTGTTCCTCTTCCTTGTCATGCCATTCCAATTACTTGCAAGTGGGTGTTTAAGGTGAAGACTCGCTCTGATGGCTCTATTGAGCGCTACAAAGCTCGCTTAGTTGCTCGCGGTTTTCAGCAAGAACATGGTCGCGATTATGATGAGACTTTCGCTCCGGTTGCTCACATGACCACTGTTCGTACTCTTGTAGCCGTGGCAGCTGCTCGTTCCTGGACCATATCTCAGATGGATGTGAAGAATGCTTTTCTTCATGGTGACCTAAAGGAGGAGGTTTACATGAAACCGCCTCCTGGTGTTGATGCCCCTGCAAATTATGTTTTTCGTCTCAATCGTGCTCTTTATGGTTTAAAGCAAGCACCTCGTGCTTGGTTTGAGCGTTTTAGCTCCGTTGTTTGTGCTGCTGGATTCTCTCCAAGTGATCATGATCCGGCTTTATTCATTCATGTTTCTGACCATGGACGGACTCTATTGTTGCTTTATGTTGATGACATGCTAATCACAGGGGATGACTTAGAGTATATTGCTTTTGTGAAGCAATGTCTAAGTGAGCAATTCATGATGTCTGATTTAGGCCCTCTTAGCTACTTTTTGGGGATAGAGGTCACTAATACAGAGGATGGCTACTACCTTTCTCAGCATCGATATATTGATGATCTTATAACACGCTCTGGTCTTACTGATACCAAGACTGCCACTACTCCAATGGAGCTACATGTTCAACTTCGTTCTACTGAAGGTGTTTTGCTTGAGGATCCCTCTCGATATCGTCAAATTGTTGGAAGCCTTGTTTATCTCACTATAACCAGACCAGATATTGCTCACATTGTTCATGTGCTTAGTCAGTTTGTCAGTGCACCTACCTCTGTTCATTATAGCCATTTGCTTCGTGTGCTCCGTTACTTGAGAGGGACTGCATCTCGACAACTATTCTATGCACGCTCGAGTCAGCTTCACCTCCATGCATATTCTGACTCAACCTGGGCGAGTGATCCAATGGATCGTCGATCAATTACTGGATATTGTATTTTCCTTGGTACTTCTCTCATTGCTTGGAAGTCCAAGAAGCAAACTGCTGTGTCAAGATCCAGTACTGAATCTGAACTTCGCGCACTTGCTACTACCACTTCTGAGATTGTTTGGCTTCGTTGGTTATTATCTGATCTTGGTGTAGAATGCAAGGATCCAACACCTCTTCTTTGTGATAACACAGGAGCTATACAAATTGCCAATGATCCTGTAAAGCATGAGTTAACTAAGCATATTGGAGTGGATGCATCATTCACACGCTCTCATTGTCAGCAGTCAACAATTTCTCTTCGATATGTGCCATCTGAACTTCAAGTTGCTGACTTCTTTACCAAGGCTCAAACTAGAGAGCAACACCGTCTTTACATTCTCAAACTCAATGTGATAGATCCTCCAAATCATTCTCCAAATCCACCTTGAGTTTGAAGGGGGCTGTTAGATATGTGTATAGCGATGTAGTCTTAGACTTATTTTACTGTTGGCCCATGAGGCCCATATACCATTGTATATGCTAGTGCTCTCCTGGAATACACAGTACTGATTTTAGCACAATTCACAGCCATGTCGTACTGATTGCAATGTAGCAATAAGAACTGCAAAGTTTGCTATATTTGAATCACGTAAACACCATATTGAAAAGCTCGTTTGTTTGCAGGATTGGCTCACAACTGACGGTATGATTATACCTTTGCGTTCTCTTATTGTTCTCCCATTACATTGTTGTACTTACTGTAGTTATCATGAATTAACAGGTTCTGCTAGCCAGAAGTCGACGAATGGTAGTACTGAGTGAAGTTAATCTTCACATCTCAAAAGGAGAACGGTTCCATGTAAGCTGCTTTCTTAACTTATCCACGCTTCAAAATATGTTGTTAGCAATGGCTCATTAGTTTTATTTTGAGATGCAGGAATGCAGGATTCATCTATGACAAAAATGCACAGAAAACGACTTTGATCAGACAATTTTGGGCACAATGCCAAGTTCATTTGCCAAATATGATTAACACTAGTAGTGTTTGTTACTGATGGAGTTGTAAATAGGCTTTTTTACCGACGAGTTGAGGATAGCTTGTCAGTGGTTCCTACTTCTAATGTCAGCTACTTTGAACTTAGCATTTCATCTGATGATGCTTTATCATTATGTTTTCACTCATATCCTGTTCTGGTGTTGAGTTCATTCATTTAATGTTCAGTCCTCTTATGGTTTAGTTAGGCTAAAATATAGTCCCTTCTTCTGCTAATTCATGCATCAGTTTGATTTGCTGGTCAAAAAAGTTCAGACTGTCTGAAGTCTGAACAATGATACACTGCCTGCCTTTTCAGCACGCACGCACGCTGCTAATCAGGCTTTTGCCTCTTCCATAATCATGAGCCGAGATGCATGGATCACATACCAAACTATCAAATTAATCCCCCACCATTTGCACTGTAAAGATCTGGATCTGAAGCATCTGAGGGACCAAGGCAACAGAATTTACGAGCTGGACATCTAACTGGAGATAATCTTGTTGCATAAATGGCATCGTGCAACTGACAATAATATGTTTGAGATATTGATACATGACATCTCAATACAATACTGTCTTCAGAAGTCACCTTGTAAACTATGCTAAACCATACTTGATCACTGGCCATTGCCTATGGATCTGCATCTTCTGTACTGTGAGGAATACTCTATTAGTAAATTCAGTTCTGTTCTTCCAAATTTCAGACTGACCCTTGTGCAGCCTGCAGGACAGCATCACTGAATCCCAGGAGAACACAGCAGTGGACGGCCAGCCACCGGAGCAGCGACGACGATGCGCAGAGAGCCACCACACGTGTGGGGTGTCGATGGCGAGGCTCGCTGGAGCTCCACTGGCAGCCGTGGACGGCGGCCCTGATCCGGGCTGGCATTGCCAGAGCCTCCAAGTGGACTGATGGAGCTTAGCAACTCCAAAACACTTCAGAAGAATCAGAACCAGCAGTGTTGTGTCCTCGTCTGCCGAGTATTTTACACCGAAACACTGGATAGCATGTGCCCAGCACCTGATCTAGCAGTTTCACTCCTGGAATTCAAAACCGAGACGCCTCGGACGGCGCGAATTCGAGACGAAGAAATGCATTATTGGTACCTTGGATATTTTGCTCTGCAGATTTCAAACTGAAAAATCTGGTAAATTTTGCGAAGTAACTGGACTGGGTAAATAGTAGTATATGTTGATGGAAAAGGGTTGGGATGCTTTCTGAATCTCCTTCTGTTCAGGTAAAGCTTCAGAGTTGCAAATCACTGAACCCCAATTGCACACTGAAGTTTCAGTTTTTCACCATGCAAATTACATGAGAGATGAAACAAGCTTTCCTTCCTATTGATCCTGCTCTGATTACTCTGATTTACAATTTTTTCTGCTTTCTTTTGGAGGTAGTTCCAACTTCCAAGCACTTTATACTAAGAGAGAAAAGAAAAAAAAGAAAAGAAGAAGAAAGAAAAAAAAAGAAAAGAAAACCAGACAATACAGCACCAAACAGGGGAATCATCTTGCGGCGGATTCAGAGATGCTGCTGCCGCCGCCGCCGCCGCCGCTCTGGCTCGCGGCCTCGGAGATGCTCTGCAGCGACGGCCGCCAGTGCCGGCCTCTGCCGCCGGCGGCCGGCGGCGCGCCGGCGCCGGAGCTCCGGTGCCGGTCCCTCTTCCCGTCCTGCGCGGCGGCGAGAACATCTCGAGGCGTTAGCTTTCTTGCAAGGCGGAGAATTCAGTCTTGACATGAGGAAAAAAAATGCAGGGACAGTGACCTGATCGTCGGAGGCGCTCTCCTCCTCCTCCTCCTCCTCGGCTACGCCAGCGAGCGGGTCGCCTCGCCGGAGCTGCTCGTGCTGCTGCCTGATGGCCTCGCACCGCCGCATCTTCTCGTTCTTCCTCGCCCGCAGCGCCTTCGTCACCTCTGCGCATCCACCACGCGCGGATTTCAGGTTGCCGCGTCAACGAGAATGGCGAATCGAAGCGCAAGAACGGATGGGTGCTGACCTTGGGAGGTGATGAGGCGGTAGACCTGGCCGAGGAGGAGCGTGTCCTTGGGCTTGAGGAGCTTGACCCTGGTGATCTTGGCGCCGCCTCCGCCGCCGCCGGTGGCTCCACCGGCGTTGGTCTTGTTGTCCCCCGCGGCGGCGGCGGAGGCGGCCTTGTCGGCGGAGATGCGGAGGATGACGAGGGCGACGTAGTGGCCGGGGTTGGCCCGCATGACGTCGGCGGCGGTGGTGGGCCAGTAGAGCCGCTCCACCTTCCCGCCGGGGTGCTGGATGACGACCGCCGCCGCCTCCGCCGCCTGGCAGTTGCCCATTTCTCTCTCCCTCCTCCGCCTTCCTCTCGCGCCGCCGGTATCAAGCTGCGCCGCCGCGGCGGCGGTGGCGATTGCGAGTTCTTGGGAGTGAAGAGGAGGAGGTGGAGGTGGTGGAGGTCATGCAGTTGCCGTTTTGAGGTGGTGGTGTTAAATGCGGTGAAGGAGCGGGGGTAATGTGGGGGAAGGGGGGGGGGGGGCTCTCATATTTTAGTGGAGATTTTAGTTTTGGATTGGGCTTTGTTTTGGATCCGGGTTAATCATCCAATTAAGATCCGTTACCGGTAAAAAGTGTGTTTATTATCAATTAAGATCCGTTATCGGTAAAATGTGTGTTTAGCGGGCAGTGGTGGATCCAGAAAATCGATTCGTTGGTGTCATAACATGTATATCGGTGTCATAGTACGCTAATTATGTTTAAATCATGATATTATAACATATGGATAAACAGTTTTGCTATAGGTTTTGTCGAAAGCCGCCGGTGTTGCCTGACACCGGCCCTAGTACTGTAGATCCGCCTCTGTTACCGGGCTCTAACTTCTAAATATAACTCTAAGAGTGAAGTCTGGAGTTGAGTTATGGAGTGGCTCGAACCCTGCTTCATTTCTTTAGTTTATTTTTTGCATATCACTTTAGTCCACTCCACTCTTATTTAGCTGAAGTTGAAGCTATTTGGTTAGATTTAAGCTATAGGAGAAGTGAAGCCGAAGCTATAGTCCTATCAAACATGCCTAAAGTAAATTTATATTTATCAATTACAATTTAGGTGTTTAACAGGAGACAATCACACTCGAGCACTTGCTTAGCGTAACAGAGAGTGACACAAGTTATATAAGTTACTGCAGGGTAAAGTCATATCATACGACTAGTGTGATGGTTTTATTACCTTACCAAGTAGGCAAGTAATAGGTTTATAATATAGGTATAATAAGGTTGTATCCTCTTGTAGGTTCATATGTATAATATGTCGATATTTATAGCTTATTTTATTGCTAAAGGACCCGTTGGAATGCATGAATTTGACAATATTTTCATATGAATTAGTTCAATTTTCATAAAATTTTCATATGAATTAGGTTTACAATATTTTCATATGAATTATTTAAAAGGAGGCCTAAATGGATAGGTAGAGTCATAGAGACCAGGGACAGGGAAGAATGAAGGGTCGTTGACTATTCCTATATATGGTCACTTCTTCATTAAGAAGCTCTTTTAGGTTTTATAGATTATCTAGTTGATTTTTAATAATTTTGGACCAGTATGTAAACAGAGTTATCCTGACTCATTCATTTTGTTAGCATGTCATAATAAGCCGTATATCAGGTCTTCAACAAAAATATAGAAAAGGAGGATAAGATAAGCAAACATTGTGCCAATGTGACAGTGCACTTGTAGCGTTGAAACCCCAGATTGCAACGGCTGGAGATGTCATGGGCATGACGCACTTCTATTCTCCATTTTATTATTATATTTATTTTTATCTGAACATCATCTATGCACTGAGAAACTTGGTGCTTATCTGCTTCTTATTTTCTCCCTTATTTTTTTTGGGTTACCTTTTTCCGACATGCTAGCCGGCTTTCCTCCTCTTTTCATTCCCACTTTGTTTTGTTCTTCGAAATCGCAGAAATGATCTCTATGTAAGCTGGAGTGCAAAATCTTAGGTGAATCAGACAACAAAAATACTTTGTTTCATAGGGGACACACACACACACAAAAAAAAATTCATTGGCGGCGGATCGCAAGATATCATGTAACAAATGAAACTCTAGTTTTCTTTGCAATACCTTCTGTAAGAGGGTGTAGACATTGTTTCATTGGATAAATATAGGTTCAAGAAACATCCAGGGGTCTTCCGGCTAGCTACATAAGTGGTGGGTTAGACAACCTTGGTTTAAAATTTCATCCCTTCTAATTTTTTGATATTAGATTATTTCCTAATATTCACGCCGAAGTCTCATACCTTCTAATTATTTGATATTAGGTCATTTCCTAATATTTGCTTTTTTAATATAGGTTCATATAGTCTCAGAAAATTCTATAACTCAAGAAAATTCATTTATATTTCACATTGAACCTACGATCCATGAAGATGCTTCATGCTTATGCTCAGTCAAAATTTAAATTTTCAACTTTAAATTTGAAGCTAATTTTAAGATTTTTTTCATCGAAGTTTATTTTTCAGCCTTTGCTTCTAGGTTGCTAAGAATACGTACATAAAAGTTTTATTCATAAATTATTTTTTATTTGTAATGTAAATATGTCGTTTGACGTTGGATCCCAAATCTCTCGACAAAACGTACAAAATGCGTCGGCTTAAAGAAAAAAAAACATGTGTCTCTCGCGTGTGATCGTCAGTTCGCCACACCATATTCCGAAAACTATGGTATGGCCATGGCATTTATGGCCCTGTATATCCTGCATCTCAGGGTGAACTACACTACACGTACTACTTTGGAACTTAGACGTGGTGATGTACGTGGCATCATAGGGCCCACCTGCCAGGGACCGAATGCATGTGGCCCCCACGTTATGGGAGAGCTAGCAGAAGTTGCCTTTGGTTTTGCCATGAACTCTGCACTTCTGCGCTGCTGACCACCTCATGCGTACGGCATGCGTAGGCCGTGAATCCGGCCGGAGGAAGATCTTTGGTGCATCGTGATCAAACATTTGCATCGTCGCATCATTGCCATGCCGTCAGTTCCTTTCTCGCTTTCTTTCAATTCAGGCTATGTTTAGTTCGTATTAAAATTAGAAGTTTGATTGAAATTGGAACAATGTGATAGAAAAATTAGAAGTTTGTGTATAAGAAAGTTTTGATGTGATGAAAAAGTTGAAAGTTTAAAAGAATAACTTTGGAACTAACACGGCATCAGTTCATTTCGGTTTTGTTTTCCCTTCTTTGGAGGGCATTTGGTCCGAGTACCATTATGATAGAACTGATCTTTACTGGGTCGGCCGAAAACCACATTAAAAATATTTTTTTAGTTTGGTTTAAAACTCCAATGGGACTAAAGATTGTCGCGGGGGGCGGGGGAGGGGATTCCTGGTTTGTAATACCAACCGAGACTAAAGATCTAAGTGTAAGTGTAACAAATCAGGACCAAAATTTAAAAAAAAAACGCTGCCGCTCACCTCCCACTCACCGTTATCTCCTCGGAAACCGCTGCCGCACGCCTCCCACACTCTATCTCCCTTATCTCTATCTCCTCACACCCTCCTCCTCCACTCCTCCTCCCTCTCCTCTGATCCCCTCCTCCCCTTTCCCTATCGCGGGCCGCGGCGGTAGCAGCCGGTGTCCCGCAGTGGCGGCGGCGGGCGTCGGCAGTGGCAGCGGCCCCCCTGCCCTCCTCCCCTTCCCCTCTCGCGGGCCGCGGTGGCGAGCGGCTGGCGTCGGCAGTGGCAGCGGCTCTCCTGGCCTCCTCCCCTTCCCCTCTTGCGGGCCGCGGCGGCGGCGGTGGGTGGCGGCAGCAGCAGCCCCCCTGCCCTCTCCTCCTCTTCCCGTCTCGCGGGCCACGGCTGCGGCAGCGGGCGGCGACATCCTACCCTCCGCCGATCCTCACAAGCCATATTGTTTTCTACGTAACAGAAGTTTCTTCCGACCTCTATATCAACCGTAATGTGTGTGTGTATATATATGTTATTTAATTATGGATATTATAATTTGAACCCTATTTACGAAGGTATATATATACATCCACAACTTCATAATGGTAAAAGGATAGTTTTGCAACTAAAATAGGGCTAAAAATTTTGAGTCCAGGGTGTATGCTAACTGGAGGAGCCTACAAAGTGTGGTGGAAGTTGTTAAAGAGTATTGAAGGTACATTGACCACATTTCACCGGCTGCTTCCTGAATATTCTTTGGAGATGTCCAATGTGTTAGTATCTTCTCCAATAGGACTTATCAGCAATTAACCTCCAAAAACTTTTCAGCATTGCATGAAAAGCATATGCCCCCCTCCAGAATACTACCACAACACACATAAAGGCAATAGCAGTGCAAGCAACACTATTGAGTTTCTCTAGGTGCCAAGCCACAACTCACATAGTGCAGGCTGAGCCAAAGCAATTTTGGGACGAGGGAGCGCGTGCGAGGCGAGATGACGAAGTGGAGAGGGGATGACCCGCCAATGCGGGATGCGTGTCTCGTGTCGTCTGACCTCAAACGCAGGTGGGCCGTGCGCATCCTCCTGAAGGGCGTTCCGGCTCGCACAAACACGCCAGATTTTCTCCTACGTGTCCCAACGAAGCTAAAGCCACGTACCTGCACTGTGAATGGTGGTACACTTGAACAGCAACAGGGACCCCACCTGCCAATGTCACTCACTATGCAAGAAGAAGAATAGGGCTTGTACTAGTAGTATATTGGTTTGGTTTGTACTCCCTCCTTCCCTAAATGTTTGACGCCGTTGACTTTTTTAAACATGTTTGACCGTTTGTCTTATTAAAAAACTTTTGTGAAATGTGTAAAACTATATGTATACATAAAAGTATATTTAACAATAAATCAAATGATAGGAAAAGAATTAATAATTACTTAAATTTTTTGAATAAGACGAATGGTCAAATATTTTTAAAAAAATCAACGGTGTCAAATATTTTGGGATGGAGGGAGTAGCCAAATCATGAGTGCGACGTTGTGCAGGACACCACTTGCGAGTCTAGGAACCAGAGGACACACCAGGTATACTCTTCTGTTGATGCGTATAAGAAACGACTTGCTGCAAATGCAGCGGTTGGCACTCAAGTTACAGTGCACAGCCATGTCCATCTCCACACGCTTTGTTCAAATAAATTTGGTGGGGTTTTTTTTAGAAATGTAAGGCTGTGTTTAGTTTAGTGTAAAGTTTAGATTTTGGTTAAAATTGGAAATGATGTGACTGAAAAGTTGTGTGTGTATGACAGGTTGATGTGATGGAAAATGACTGAAGTTTGGACCCAAACTTTAGATTTAAACACAGCCTAAGTAAAAACAAATTGAAGTTGTAGCAAAACATGTGTTTGGTAGCATTGCAAGATCCCTGCTTAATATAGTTGTTTGTCATTTGTAGATAACATTGCAACTATACTTATTTTTTTTCGGAGGGTAGGAATTGACTGTATAAGAATTTAATAGTATGATTCATGTAGCGTACGAATGAGTGTTTTAATTTATTTTTTTTTGTTTTCTAAACCA